ACAGCGCAAGTTCGCGTAACCAAGTGTTTGATAAACCTTCTATTACACTAAGATCCTTAACAGTAAAAAACACATTGGTGTCGTCTGCATAAAGTATAATATCTGGAGTTTGCGGAATGTTTACTATATCATTTATGTACAACAGAAAAAGTAATGGTCCCAGAATTGACCCCTGAGGTACACCGTAATTTATTTTCATTAGTTGCGATTCATACTCATTGATTTTTACATATTGTGATCGTCGAGATAAATAGACTTCATATGACATCATATGACACCGTACCAGTCGCCATTGCTCCGTACCATTCCTGTGCCCGCGTATGCCTTCTGCAGCATACATTTCGCACCATCGGATGTGTTCTTCTAGCAAGGCTTGCCGAGAAGAAGAAATTCAGTGTTGTTAAATATATGTTTCAGAAGGAATGGGCAACAGAATCAGAATCAGTTTATTTTTGTCACAGCGCTTTTACACACATGTGACAAGGGGAGGCAGGAAAAAAAGCTGCAAGTTTGCAGCCTGACGGGTTCCTGCCCCCCAATACACAGGGCAGAGCGGCACTCTCCTCAAAAACACACACAAAAAAACACAGTGAAAATAACTTACGTAACATGACATTTAGCAATATATTAAGTATCATCTCAATACACATGGAAATAGATAGATATAACAAACATAAGACAAACATTCTATTATTACCGGAAAGTTTAAATTTTACGGACATTTAACGAAAGTATGACCAACACTCATCTCCAGACACGAAGGAAAAACACAATAAAGGTAACTTTTATAAGATATTGTATAAAATAAGTGTCACTGAAAATAGGTTGCGCTTCAAAACAGACTGAAGTAGAAGATACATTAAACATATGACAAACATTTTCACTCAATATAAGAAAGCCTGAGTTGTATGGGCATTTAATGAAGGTGAATCAACTTCTTGGGAATATAAGATGTTCAACAGTAACGCTAATCTGTAACTCAACCTCTGGAAGCCAAAATTAGTTCTAGATGATGGGATTCTCCATGAATGCCGATGACGTGAGGGATATAATGATTCATTATTGGTCAAAAATCACTGTAATATGTTCTCTTAAGGCACGATGATATGTGACCGTTAATCTATTAGAGTACATGTTAGATACGTCATGTATTTTATGCTTTATAAATAAAGGAAGAGAACTATGGTCGCGTGGGACATTTTTCAATTATCCTTATTGCTTTTGTTTTCCATTTACCTCAACCTTTCAAAGTTACTTTTTGTTACCAGACCAGATGACAATAACAAAGAATTGAATGAAAAAGGGAATTATACATTAATTTTTTTATAGTCGCAGGAAATACTTTCCTACATAGATAGATATAGATAGAAAGCACTTCGGCTCACAAGTTCCTTGGGGTTTGGTTTGAGGAGTTTTTAAGTTGGACGAACCATGTAAATAAAATTAGATGTGATATATCACGTTCAATTGGTATACTGAATAAAGTCAGACACTTGTTACCAAACTGGCTTAAACTGCAGCTTTACTATACTCTTGTGTACTCCCGCCTACAGTATTGTCTTTTAGTTTGGGGAACCACGACAAAAACAAACATTGAAAAAGTTTTTCTTTTACAAAAGAAGGCCGTTAGGTTCATAGATAATTTAGGTTATATTCAGCATACATCGCCCACATTCGAAAAATACAAGCTATTACCCATCGGACATGTTTTTTTTCTATTAAATTAGCGAACATTATATTTGACGAGATAAAGCGGGATGAGACCTCTTTCTTCAACGCCTGCCTTCATAAGCCTGCCGATTACACTCTTAGACACACCTTTTACATCAAACAAAATGCTAGAACAAACTATGGAACTCAAACACTTCATTATCAAATCGCTGACTTACTAAATACTCATGCAAATATAGTTCAAATGGTACACAACTGTAGCAATCTCCAGATGTTTAGGAAAATGATCAAATTATATTTTCTTTCAATCGAATAATATGCACCTGCCACTTGTGCCATTAGTTCAAATGTGCAAATGTGATAAATTATATTATATGTAACAGTGTTTGTTATTTTTCACTAAACTTTGTGACTCTTCAAATGTTTTCATCCGTAAACTTATTTTGATGTGAATTAGGTAATTGATGTTCTTTTTTTTTCGGTATCCGTAGAAGTACGTGCCAAGTGCTGTAATGGGGGCTGGTGGCCACGTCAGAGGACTTCGTGTCTTCTTTTGCCACAGCCTCCCAGACATATGCATGTCGAAATAAACTTATTATTATTATATTTGTTCATTATCCCTACTACTTTACAAAGTTTTTTTATGTATGCAAGAAACAAGGGGATTCCACGACATGTGTTCTGAGCACACAACGCCGAGCGTCTTTACGCTGTCAACGCATTCTACTATATTTGGCCCATTGTACAAATCACTGGACAATGCGATCCGTGATCCTGGAAATTTAAAAAGGACTGCTTTTGTTTTGGGTTGGTTTATAGACAGAGAATTTATGGTGATCCAGTGTTTTAACTTGCGTAAAATATAGTTTCCTTTGGAAGTGAGTAGGTCTTCTCTTGAGTAAGAAAAAAAGATGCTGGTATCATCTGCATACATAACCAGCTCGGCGGAAGTTTCTATCTTTGTAATATCATTGACGTAAATAATAAACAACAGGGGACCTAATATGCTTCCCTGTGGAACCCCAGAGAAAATGCGCTGCATGTTGGATGACGAGTTTCCAATCTAAACATATTGGTGGCGATATTGTAGGTCGGACGCAAGAAGTTATAAAAAAATACCACGTATACCGTAACATTTTAACTTGACAAGGAGAGTCTGGTGGTTTATTCGATCGAACGCTTTGCTAAAATCTATGAAAATCCCTAAAGTTAAAACTTTATTCTCAAAATTTTCTAATATTAATTCTCTCTGTACTGGTAAAGTTGTTTCTGTGGATCTATGTTTTCTAAAAACGAGTTGCGATACCGTCACAAGGAGGATTTGCCCAGAAAATTGAAAAGTCGAGAGCACATAATTTTTTCAATGGGCTTTGAAAAAATAAGAAGGATGGAAATCGGACGGTAGTTACTCAGATCATTCCTATCCCCACCTTTATAAAGAACAGACACTTTAGCAACCTGCATCTTCTTCGGGAATATACCGGATGATAATATAAGATTATACAAATGAGTTAAGCATGGAAGTATCAGATCCAAGACAAATTTCGCAGGTCCGATTTGGAGATCCTCCCAGTCATGACTACGGCGATTTTTTAATGTTCATAAATGTGGAGAAAACTTCGCCTTCATCAGTAGGATTTAAAAAAAAATGGTTTCATTGCAGGTGGTAAAATTATTCATGGCTGTACTGTTATAAGTACTGTTTCCCACACTTACAAAATAGTCATTGAATTTATTGCTAAGTTCGGTACCGGATACTTCCCTATTATTATTTTTCATGCTTTCAATACCGTCCTGGTCCGCATTAAGGAGTTTAAACGCTTCCACATAATTTCTGGCTGCATCAAATTTGGCAGAAAAATAACGTTGTGTTGCACGTTTTAACTGCGTATTTACGAGGTTTCTAAATTTTTTGAATTGACGCCACATTACTTCGTCTCGAGTTTTAAGAAAGGAATCATACAGAAAATTAATTTTTTTTAATTTGTTTCAAAAGCTGTCTACTGATCCAGTGCCGGAGCAGTGGCGGCTGATGGACCGTCAATGCAAGCCAAGTGTTCATTGGACGCCATATTTGAGGGCGATGTCTTGAGCGCATGCTCAGAACGAGCTCAGATTACTAGGCTGCTAGACCAGCAATCATGATGGTGCAGAATGCACGTCCCTAAAGAACTGCGGAGGCTCGCCGTCAGCACGCGGTGAGCGACCACGCCAACAGATATGGCCCTCAGTGAATACTCTATATTGGCGACGAGACGTTTCGGTGGCTTTCTCTTGAGGTTCTTATCTGTGACGTCACGACAATGATTATCTTTGTAAAAAGCATGGTAAAAAGTCTGTAAAAAGCATGGTGGAAACCTGTAGTCACCGCTTCCTAAACCAACACCGTCAAAGTTGATGGTCTGGCATTCTTATTTCAATTAAGGAAAGTATAATTCATCCTACTAAGCACTTCATAGAGAGCGTTTGGCCAGTCGTGGAAGGCCGACCGAAGCGACGCTCTTGGCCGCACACGTCGCCAATAGTGGGACGGAGAGCCATCGATAAGTTACTTTGCTTGGGGTGATGACACCTGGCCATTTTGTTTCGAACGCTTTTTTTTGTTTGTTTGTTCTGAAGCACGTGAAAGAGCGTGTCCCTGCACGCGCTCATGGCGCTGACTGTGCTACGGCGACATTTTGTTTCCGGCGATTTCTTTGTATTTTCCCTGTGAGCGCGTGCTGTCGGCATCGGGTACTATACAAACGATGGCATCACCCTAAACAGAAGAACATTGAGGCACTCTAGTCACACCTCCCCTTCTAGACCCAACATACCCTTACCTCACCTTCCAGCCCAGCATAGTTGCGAGATTACAATCAAAAAGAGGCTCGCGATTGCCAGCGTGGCACTCCTGGCTCTACTCGAAGACAACTTTTCTTGGCAATGCAGTCAAAGGTGCGTGCTCTCTCCCATTTGGAGTGCGGATTCAAAGGCGGATTAATTCTGTGCACGCGCTCTCCTTCTCTACTCGTAAATGCCAGGAATCCCCGAGCACACCGCGTGTGCGAGCACGCGCAGAATGCGCGGGAAAAAAATATTGGGCATGCCTGGAATCGCACGTGGTTGCCCACACGACCAGAAACATGGAAGCTGTAGTCGGATGCTTCGAATCGAGTATTAAGGTGAGACGTCCAAGAGAGGGGCAAGCGAAGGAGCGTGTCACGATCAACTTGCAGGATATAGAACGTCTGGCTCGCGTGTCAATTTAATTTTTTTTTTTCTGTGCATTTAAATGTATCGCAGCAAAGTCGACCTTGAACGCGAGTTCTGGCTCGATTTTATTTCGTGGTGTCCGACTCCTCGTTTTGCACCGTCCAGACGACGAGCGTGGTGTCGCGGTGACTCCGCTGCGTTGGCACCCCGTGGCTGGCGGGATGTTGTTTCCGCCAGCACACAATCTCCCGGGGACGTGATATACAGCGCTCATGTTGCAGCCGGCGCGGGACAGAGGACAGGGTCCGATAGGCATCAGCGATACGCTTATCCAGGACGCCGGGAAGCGCGAGTCGAATCATACTCGAGTGCTCGCCCGCTCCGCCGTCGCTGTCACATCTCTTGTAACATGGACGGCAAGCTGGTGCTCGTGGTTGCGCTCCTATCGCTCCTTGGAGGCGCCATAGGGGTCCTCAGGTAAGGCTGGACGCATTTTAAGACTGTACTCAAGGGGGAGGGTGTGTGTGTGTGGATCTGTGTGTGTGTGTGTGTGTGTGTGTGTGTGCGTGCGTATGTGCGTGCGTCTGTGTGTGCGAGCGCGAACGCGTGTGTGTGTTTTCTACGACACGACACTGAAAGAGAACAAAATGACAGTTCGTTTTGTTCTGTCTCAGTGCACGCCGCATAGCTGTGTGCTCGATGAAGGCGAGCTTTTACAGTTCTTTTGCGACCTACGCTCCGCACCATCAAGATGGCCTGTTTTAGCATCCTAATATGAGTTCGTTCTGAGTTCTAAGCATGCACTCCATGCTCTGTTTCACACTTAGCGTAAAACGCTGTCAAAGCTACTGGCGCGAGCATGAGGCTTGATATCGTTGATCATCTGCACGCGCGCTCGCGCGAATGAAACCATAGACAAAGCCACGCGCTCGCGCCAGTAGCTTTGACAGCGTTGCATATTAAGTATGAAACGGAATATACACATCGCCCTCAAATATGGCGTCCAGTGAATGACTTCTATAGGTAGTATTCACTGGCGGCTATAGCTGAGCTTGCTGCTGCTGAGCACGTGTTGACGGCAAGCTCCACAACGCTTTCAACTCGCACATTGCACAACATCAAGATTGTATTATTCGGGAGACCATAAATAAGATATCATTCCTAGCATGAGCAGGGAGCAGTCACCTCAAATATGGCGTCCTCACAAACATCAGCACTGACAAAGGCGCGGGAGCGAGTGTGTTCATTTTATTTGATATTACTGCAATCCCTCGATGGGATTTTTGCCTTCTATGCTCGAAGTGCCTTCTATGCTCGAGTTCTAGTGGAAACCGAGCGTTATGCTGAGCTAGACTCACGTACCAGTGCCTTTAACTGCACTGTAGACTTTTGTGAGATGTATTCAGGGGCACAAGCAGATCGGACGCTGCAAAACAAGTAAAAAAAATCTACGCTTGCACATAGAAATCTCACACTTTCATAAAAATGTCGGTGTATAAGCAGGTCAATGTTACCATGTAAAACTTCCAGGCGTAGTTCTCTTTCTGTTAAAAATGAATTAGCGACACTCTTAACTTGTGGCGTGAGCTCCCGATAGGCGCAGCGAGCAGACAACAGAGTGCGTTGTCCGCCCGCTGCGCCTATTGGGAGATGGCGTCACAAGTTAATGGCGTCGCTATTTTTCGTTTCACCTTACGATGAACCGCAAGGTGCGCTGCGAGCCGTCGGAGCCTAACCAATGCCGTGTGAGTGCCACTTGACCTTCGGTCAGAAAGAACGCAGCGATGCACAGGGCGTGTAATCGCGTGATACCTTGACAGTGCTGGATTGGCTGGGACGGCTGAAAGCATCCACTGAGTTCTATCATAAGGTGAAAAGGAGTACAACTCGGTCGTTTTCGAACGAGCCCGACGTTGATGTTGGCAAGTTTGTTGCTCTAATTTGTTTACAGAAAAAGAAGTTCGACTCGAAACTTCACATGGTAAAATTGACCTGTTCAGTGCACATTCAGTGAAAGTTTGACCATTCTATGCGCAGGCGCCGATTTTTCCGGCTTGTTTTACAGTGTCAGATCCGCTTGTGTCACACCATAGGGACTATTCACTGGACACCATGTTTGAGGGCGCTGTTTGGAGCGCATACTCGCAGCCAGCTCACATTAAAGAGGTACTACAACGAAATTTCGGCGCTTATTTTTTGGTCTACACGTCTTCAAAGGAGCCGTATCACATGGGACACGCCAATATCTTGTTAAAAAAGACACGAAAAGGAATTTTAAACAAAAATTAAACGATTAGCAGAGAGCACCTGGTGGATGTCGCTAGAGCCTTGTTCGTAATGCCCGTACTAGGAACCTTGACAGGTAGTGACGATAACTGTCTCGCCAAGAACTATACATGCTTTGAACCTGACGTCATCCCGACAGCTCTACAGGCAGCACAAAGGAAAGGGGGAGGGAGGAACTCCCCACTCAGCGGGACTCGATTTTGTGTGTTTTAGACGTCGCTATTCTCCCTTTACAAGATTATAGATGATTAACCCGTCACTCAAAATTCCCACAAAAGCAGATTTGCGGTTAGCTGCGGTGGCCCGATCGCTGGCGTGATTCGACCGCTTCGGTGGCTGGAACGGCTAGGGCATTCTGACGACATCAGCCTCGCCGCAGCTTTGCCCATCCCGAGACAAGCTACGTCACGATTGCGTCAGATGGGACGTGGCTCGCCACTGGCTGCTGTCTGAGTGCTTGCCAGAGTGGACCGTTTATAACAAAAAATATAGCCATCAGGCTCAAAATACAAAGGTGCGATTGTCATTTACGGATACTGTGGATCATCAGCATATTCCTGAACACGACGGGTATATTTCAAATTTCGTTAAAGTATCCCTTTAATAGGTTGCTAAGAACGGCAATCTTGATGGTGTCGAATGCAGAAAGAACTGCGGAAGCTCTCCATCAGCATGCGCCCAGCAGTCGCGCACACAGCTATGGCCGCCAGTGAAGACTTCCTATTGGCGACGTCAGCAATCGAAAGCGTCGCAGTGGTCGGCCTGCCACGATTGGCATCATGCAGCTTTTGTGGGAGGTTCTGGTTTTAACTGAATGTGCGAGCAATGCTTTGCAGTCGAAAGATATGGGCGTCTGTGCGCTCGCGGGCCATGAGCGCCGATCAAAAGTCGGCCCGCGCTCTCTTGCGTCACAGAAAAGTTGTCCTCGAGTATTGGCAACTAGAGTATACTTATCGGAAAACACGTGAAAAAGAGACGCGGAACCTTCCGCCGATCCAAGCGTGCAGCAAAAATGCCGGGAAACAGTGGAAAGGGAATTAAATGCTAGACGTTGTAGTAGTTGCTAATACACCGTTCCAGAAAATGGCTTCTAGCAGCTACAATTCTAAATATCGGCGCATTTTGCACGCCCTTTCTTCGCTTTCTGAGGTTGCAAGCACGCTATCATCATAAGACTCTAGCGCGCGATATTATTATCGCGCGCTAGAGTCTTACTTTCCGTAAACAGTATAATAATCTAGAGACTGATATGGCCTGCTAAAGATCGTGATTGTCTGCATAGGATTTAGTATTCAACGCTTCAATAGCTACGTGAATCTACCTCCAGGGACCATCATCCCCGCAGCGTTACCGAGCGGAACAACGTTCTGTTTCTCACTTGTTTGGAGCGCGGTCAATGCTTCGGGCGGTGTAAGGCTTGCTTCAGCGCATAGCTGCAGTGCGGAATCCGCTCCCTAAATTAAGAACTCGTGCCCTTCGCTCTGCCTGAGATACCGTAATTGTGGATGCGTTGCCCTCTTCACCCGCCGTATGGGTGCGACAGAATCTCCACGTGGTTCATAGAAAACCACGAGTAACCAAAGGCACAGCCTACGCTGTTCAATCCGATACTCGTAGCCAAGAGAGTCCCAGAAATGAGGAAAACAATGAACCGGCAAACACCTTATCACCGCAGTTGCTTGTAAGTACGCAGCATCAACAATGGCTTGATGAACCCTGATAATAAACTGTTGACTGCAATCGGGTTGGCTTTGCTGTCATTCGATTACAATGCCGCTTTAACGTCTGGAGGACTTTATCCGAGATATTCCCTGAGGTCTGACAACTTTGTACGATTTGCTGTAATCATGTTTGAAGATAAATAGGGTAAAACATTACCAGTGTCACCGCTTAATGACGCTAATAAAGTATTTTTTCTGGTTTTTGGTTTTTAATGGTTTTTGATTAACAGGGAACTCAAGGAGCGGCCTTCAACGAGAACATAGCCGCACAGTTATTCTCTTTTCCTCTTCATGATATAAAAAACACAGTGGACTTCATTGTTATTTCTTCACAGTAGTAGACTTGAGTGTTTGATAACCTCGTAGGAAACAGCAGGCGCTAAGAGAGAAAAAAAAAGTAGATGTATACCTATACTCAGGTGTGCGCCACCAGCGCAAGGACAGCACGATTGCTTGGTTGATACGACCGTTGACATTTAACTTACATTAAATATTTATGTCATTCTTGCACTACTTATTGGTGATACTGACTGGAGGATATCCACCTTCGACCAGCTTCGTGACCCTGGGTTTTCATTGGTCTCGTCGTCTTTTTTTCAAAAGGAACGTTCGAAACCCCCGTTGCCTCCGAACTTCCCCTTACCGTATACACGAGCAACTGCCACCTCGATTAACTTTCCAGAGTTTTTGTCATCCGATTCAAAACTCTCGTTTCTAACCGCAGAGTTCATATTTTGTAAACGTCGCATCCCATATTTTTTTCAACTACGTCGTCTCCACTCCTTGACCGTCAACCCCAGCCGTAGCCCGCAGCAACATCTGAAGCCCTCCAACTGAGGAACAACCACGTTGTGTACAGGACTCGGACGTCCTACGATTGAATCTGAATCTCCAGCTGCTGACAGCCGAGGATCTCCTGTGACAGAAGATCTACAGAACTCTTCCGACGAATGGAGCAACTGTGTACTTGGAGACAAGGCAGCGACGATGCGAACGTCCATTCTTCGCGAACTTTTTGCTGCAACGCCTGCCTCAGCAAATGCCGTTCTTTCCGACCACAATAACCACGAAGTCCATCACAATACTGACTCGCATGGCAGACACTAGATGACGGACGTCTACTCGCTCAGCATTCCGTGGGTAGCCCGGCGTTTCATTTAACTGTGCCTGACCGCGACGCCCACCCCCACAGTTCTGACCCACTGGCAGCTTGCGCTGACATGAAAAAGAAAATCGATGACCTCAGTCATGAGTTGCGAAATATTTAGCAGCGGCCCCCTACACTCTAAGAAATTACTGCGCGTCTACGTACTCGCAAAACACTGGAAGAACCAATCTCTGCTATCTACGAAATCAGCTCAGCGAATGATGAGGGGGAACATTGTTTAGACATCAAAATTAAGTCTGCGCTGTGGAATTATGCAGTGCAAGAATGACGCTTTGCATTGCGTAATACCATAGCGCAGTCTTTATTTTTATAGCGGAGCTGTTAAGGGCTAGGTTACCCAGGATCGTGTCCGTGTATGTCGACACAAACCTACCTGGACAGCTACCGCCATCTATAAGCGGCGGCGGCAAGCACACAACCATTATGGTTTCCGTCGTCGCTCGTAGATGGGTGCAACCTTTCCAGCTATAATAAAAGAATGTATAGTTGGGCGCGTTGGTGGGAATTCATCGTAGAAAACAGCGCGAAAAACAGACGACGACGAAGAAGAAGCACACAGTGTATCGAGTACAGCTCCGCTGGTCTTCCTTCTTCACGAGAGTGGATAGGCTGAACGTTTTTAGGTCTAAACAGATGTTCCGCCTCATCATTCGCTGAGCTGGTTTCCTAGATCGCACAAATTGGCTATTTGAGTGTTTTGCGGGTAAGTAAACCCGCAGGAATTTCTTAGAGTGTATAAACGTTTTTTGTTTCCTTTCGTTATTAGTCACGTGGGTTTCGTATCTGGTATGCAGGACGCGAAAATAGTAAACCATTCAGCCTGGAATATGCGAGAAAATATAGGTGAGACGAAACAAGAAAGTGACAATCACGTAATGTTCGTGAAAACCTTTCAGCGGCGTGGAGAGATCATGACGATGTGTTAACGCAGTGGTTTTTAGATGGGGGAGTCCGCGATTTTATTCTAGGGGTCCGCGAAGCCCTGCCTCATCAGTCAAACCCAACAACAAAAGATTTGGTTTTTAATTGAGAAGAAACATTTTAATTTTTGGGTGACTTTTCTCGTGTATACGTACGTCAATAAGAGAAGTGTATACTTCTCACTAGCCCTTAGTTATATCCATTTATTAAGTCACTCTCATAATTAACCTATACCTTTCCCTTCCCTTTACCACGAGTGGTGTCCTCCATCATCTCCGCCGATCCACAAGGGGTCCGCAAAATATAAATGGTTGAGAACCACTGTTCTAACGCATACCAGAAGTGACGACATTCAAGATGGCTGCGCCCTTGTGGAAAAGGTATATATCGGTGTGCAGAAGGATAGTCACTACCGCCAACCGTCGAGGCAATAGCATAGCCAGGAATTAAAAAAAAAAATGCCTTTCTTATGTGGTCTCTGACCGCGGCACAAAAAGAAAAAGAAGTCGGGCACTTGCTCATGTCAAGGCACAGATGGGCAACCATTCTTATCGGCGATGCTTGATTCAGCCGTTTTCTTTTCCTTCGTATTAAATATGTATGCCCTTACACTGCAACTTCCTACTGACTCTTACGAGAGTAATGAGACACGAAACAAAAAGCGTCAATCAGAACGTAAGGGCGCGAGTGAGCTGGTGCATACTGTACATTTTGAAGCAACCCGAGACTGGATATACGAAAGAAAAACGTTCTCTTCCTCTTCTCATGTTGTCAACTTTCGTAATCCTCATTCTCGGGTTGCTTCAAAATGTTCAGCGTCGTGAATAACCTGGGGCACAGCGCGGATTCGAGCGGGTCTGAGGAGTTCCGTGGTGTTCGCAGGATGCCCCTGCACAAGATGCAGAGTGCCCGGGCGCACCTGCACGACGCAACCACCCCCCTGACTCGACCGGCGGGGCACGCAACTCGCGGTGGCCCCATCCCAGAGCCGCTCAAGAACTACTTGGACGTGAGCAACCCCTCGGATCACTCTGCTCTACTCTCAGCCCTGGGGACTCCCAACAACGACGCCCCTTAGTTTCTTTGAAGACGAACGCGAGTGCTCCAAAGCTGCGGCGCAGTACTTCGGATCCTTATATTGAAACTTTGATATGTGGATGGGAGGCATGTCATGATTGGGCGCACGCGCTTTATATGTAAATATGTAAAGGGCGCATCGTTAACATACGCGCAGAGTCTCAGGAAACCCCGGACGAGAGTTAATCGTCGTTTTCTCGTCTACGTGGTGCATTCGTGAGGCACTGATTGTCACTCTATGACTCGGTTATTAGCGCTATCCACTTTCCACGTCGGTAATAACACGAGCGAATTGAACGAGCTGGAGCCGACAATTGTATGTCCTCTTGAGCCGGTGGGTGGCACGCTCTTGGGCTCCACGAATCGCCGAGAACTAGGCACGTGACTCGTCAGTCAGGTTAAACCACTCAGGTGTCTAAAATTCCACCGGACGCCTGAATGGCATTAATTTTTAAGCGTGTGTGTGGGTTTATCTTTAGTGTGCAATAATTTACGACCTCACCTTGGGAGAGATGAAGCCTCCCTTCGCTACGTCATCATCCAACCAACAAACGCGTAGAAATCACAGAACAACTGTGGACGAGATTTCTAGTAGACGGCTCTGAGACAAACATATAAAAGGGATACAAAAGTTCGAAGAGTACAGCCGGGAGAGTGAAAAGGCACGCTTTCCCACAGCCTTCACATTGAGAGTATGTTCATCCTTCTCATCGGCAGCTCGTTGGGGTCGCTACATCCTTCTAAGGGAGCACCCCCAATCTCGCCGTGTTCGCCTCTTCGCTCCGGGATTCAATTGGATGAATTTACAAATTTACAGACTAGCTATAGATTTACAGGCCTTGAGGCTGCTGCCTTCAGGAACTTACACGGGACACCTATTCCTTTTCGTCTTCTCAAGAGACAATTTTCCATAAACAAACGTTCATTTATCGTACGCCAAAAGTATTTCAACCAGCGCACCATAAAGTTATCCCACGAGTACATAGGCACAGAGTATTAATCATGTTGGTCGGAACAGTTTTCAGGGTGGTTCAAGTACGGTACTGGGAGGGGTAGCGTGGTCGCGCCCCCATGCGGCTAGAAAAAATTTCATTGCTTTTAAGCGAGAGAAAAGTCCGTAGGGAATACCGCCGCCTAACCCGACCGTGCTAAGAGCTACCGTAAGGACATAAATTACGAGTCAAGGGCATGCGGTGGGGGCTCCATGAATTGCCAAGAACCTGCTACAGGTTCACTGTAGCTACTTCATGATAGGTATATCACAAAACGCCGACCTATCGAGCGGCATTCGTTCCTAAGGTGTACCAACCTTCGGGTCATCCGAGAAAAAACATAATTGTTCGCTTCGTGCAGCCAGCCAAGCGAGACAAAATCTTGCAAAGGAGCCAAAAGCAGAGGATGACAACAAAAGACCTCGATTACGGCGGGCAGGGCAGCCCTATCGGCTCCTGGGTGCTGCAGTCGCAAAAACGAAAACCGTAGGCTGCATATTTGTCCGGTTGTCAACACGTTTAAACAAAAGGCCTCCTGGGTGCTGCAGTAGCAAAAAAAGAAAACTGCAGGCTGGAAATTTGTCTGGTCGTCTGGCGGAAAAATCTTTGCTCGTAAAGATAACGAGGCAGTTGCGATCCGTATTATTGCTGACGTGGCCGATGTGAAAAGAAAAAAAAATTAAAGATAACAATTTCCTGAACGAGCGCGAGCCGATGATCAATCATGGATAAGACTCGATATTTACTCTCTACTGAGCTCAGGTATTTTCTAGAGCATGACCCAATTTTTTTTTTTTTACGCGTCCCCACCTAAACTGCCAGTCAGCAAGAAATAAGTGTGATGACCTAGACATTTTAACCCTGGAGAGTGGGGACAAAGAGGACAAACACGACACAAATCTTGAGGGTTAAAATTGTCTATATTGAACCAGCTCGCCTGCACCCTTGCTTTAACTTCATGACCTAGAATTTTTTTTTTAATCGAGTGAATGTTAGCCTTGACGTGATAATGCTCTCGGAAACGTGGTATAACGGTGACTCAGATGCCTTCACGTTGCGGGATTATAACTATCGTTGCCTTAATCGCAGCACTCGGCGGGGAGGTGTCTGTGTGCTCACAAAAGATAGCGTAACTTGTGAAATAATATCAAAATTTACATGCGAAACCCAAGACTACAAAGTACTAACGCTACGCTCAGAGAAAATCTATTTTCTCTGTTTCTTATCGGCCTCCTGGTAGTAAATAAAAGCTTGTCGTGGAATTTCTCGAGGCGTTTTTGAACTTTGTGAATGAAGGCAAATGCAACGTAATATGTGGTGGCGATTTTAATATTGATATGTTAGCTGATACCGACCTGAAAAGAGAAACGGATCGCATTATAAAATCCAACGGATGCCTGAATGTAATCAGTGAACCAACGCGAATTACAACATCAACCCAGACACTCATTGATTTTTGTTTTTACGAACTACAATTTTGAAAAGGTCAAGTCGGGAATTTTAGCGTCCAAAATAGGCGATCACCTTCCATTCTTCCTTTGTATGATGGAGAAGCACAACTTAAAACCTAGCGATTCAAAGAATATTCGCTCATTCCAAAATATTTCCTCAAATCGTTTAGATGCATTTCTACAGCAACTATTCCTTATGAACTGGAACTTTTTGTTTGATTTAAGTGATGCCAATTAAGTATACGATGGTCTTTCGGAGTATTTCACACGTCTATATACGTTTCACTTTCCCTGCAAAAGTGTAAGGTTTTCATAAAAATACATAAACTATGGGTTACTGCTGACTTACTCGAAGAAATTCGTGTAAAAGTCGTGTTATATCAAAAGTTTTGTAGATCACGAGATCTAAACGACCTTAAGGCTTTCGAGTTTTTTCGTAACAAACTAACCAAAATATTACGCTGTGCAAAAGCAGAGTATTTTGAAAATTATTTTTTTTTCTGCCAGTAATAATAGCGAAATTACTTTGAAAAAATTAATTCAGTACTTAGTCGAAATTTGCCACCGAAACCGATCTAGGGCCTTCTAGTAGGTGATCAGCAACTGAGTGATATGTCATTAGCCAGTGAGTTCAATTGATTTTTCGTAAATATTCAAGATAAAGTCATATCTAGCACAAGTGACGCAGCTGCTCGGCCTTCCACTCTCAAAAATAGCCATTCAGGTTTCCTAGATCCCACAAATAATTCTGAGGTGATCACTGAATTTATGCAACTGAGAAATAGCAGCAGCACAGACTGTGACAATATTCAAGTTCGTCCTGTAAAGTTCGTCATTGATCTAATATAGCGCCTTGCTCATCGCACATACCCAACCTCAGTCTACAAAGAGGAGAGTTTCCTAAACGTATGCAAATTGCCAAAGGTCCGGTTCTTTACAAAAAGGGGCATAAGAACGACATTCAATAATTATTTACCTATTTCAATTTTTACCTGTTTTTTTTTCTTGTTTTTTTCCAAGGGCCTCGAAATATTACTGCATTAGCCGCAGCTTTTTATTGGGATCGAGACGAAACATCCAAGATTTAACATCCGTGTCTTTATTAACCAGAAAGATCCTTCTTACATAACCCGTCAGATTGAATACTGGAAGGTGGATGTACACAGAGGAAATTATGGATTCCAAACGCTCAAAATTATTTTCCTAGATACGCCCTTTAATGAATGTCCATTTTTTTTTTTAATGATTACTGCCTTCCACTGTAGGGGGGCCAGTGCTCGTCAAGCTACCTGCAGGCAGCTTTTTTCCACGCATCTCCATGCCCCCCCCCCCCCCCCCCCCGTAATCATGTGATGAAAATAAATTGATTATTATTATTCGAAAGCTTTCATCAGCCGGCTGTTCCTTGCGAGAAAACGTGTTGGTGGGGACACCTGTGTGCAGGCCCAGTACTACGGCGAGATCACGCTGGGCACTCCCCCACAAAGCTTCCGGGTTGTGTTTGACACTGGATCATCCAACTTGTGGGTGCCTTCTGCCAAGTGCCCTTTCACCAACATTGCCTGCCGTAAGTGACCTCCGACTTTCGCTCCCGCCAAAATGATCCTTTTGAGCTGCCTTCTATCTCTATAGGGTGTTTTCCTTTGGCACAAAGCATCGTGTATGAGCTATTATGTTGGACAGCAAGAACGATCGACGTAAGACCGAAAAGCATTCAGGAAGTCTAACGATCACTGAGAGTTCCTCGACGTCAATGTCGAGTCACGTCAATCCTCGCCTGAAATATGATGACCGGAAATTGTTATTCTCGACAATGACTATTCTCAACGGTGGATGTGTCAATTTCCACTGGCTGTCGCCGCATAAATGTTGGGCCGTTGCTGAAACTTTTTTGTATAATAATTTCATAGATTCACTGTACCGTTTTTGTAAGTATGGTACTGCTCTCCTCGTGCTCCGGGTCGCACTTAGCTTGTTGTCCGGCGGTCCGACGCCCGCAGTGCTGCACCGCAAGTACTACAGCCGCAAGTCGAGCACGTACGTGAAGAACGGAACCCAGTTCGAAATTCGCTACGGCAGCGGGAGTGTGCGGGGCGAGCTGAGCACGGACACGATGGGCGTGGGCGACAGCAGCGTGACGGGTCAGACGTTCGCCGAGATCCTGCACGAGTCCGGCCTGGCCTTCCTGGCGGCCAAGTTCGACGGCATCCTCGGCCTGGGCTACCCTGAGATCTCGGTGCTGGGCGTGCCGACCGTCTTCGACACCATGGTGGCTCAGGGCGTGGCCGCCAAGCCCGTCTTCTCCGTCTTCCTGGACCGCAACGCAAGCGACCCCGCCGGGGGAGAGGTGCTGTTCGGTGGCATCGACGAATCCCACTACATCGGGAACATCAGCTACGTGCCGGTGTCCAAGCGTGGCTACTGGCAGGTCCACATGGACGGGTACGTGAGCATCATTAGCCGGTATTCAGGTAAGGCGTCCGTAAAAAGACCCGACTCTGCCCTTTGCTCACAAATGAGCTCTTTGGCGGAAGGTATACGCTTCATTTCGGTCAAGCACGCTGGTTTTTTTCTCCACACCTAGAGGTAATCTTTGATTGATTGAAGTTTATTTGGATTTTCAGGGCCCGTAGAGACAAAAGGCATTTTTTGCGTGGCTCAAATCCCTGCCTCCCGTAGTTTGGAGCTAAATACGCAACATAAACTGATGCACACAGTGAACAAAAAAAAAGAAGATATATTTGGCATATTCATGCGCACTAAATATACACACTTCTCTAAAAATGACACAAAAATGTTAAAACACGTTCAACAAAGGGTCATCGTCACTTTTTTTCTCCTTGTGCGCATTAAAAAGAGCAAAAACATAGTACACAATCGAATAATTCAACACTCATTGGAAAAAAATGTCAAGCCATGTTCGAGAGGTGATTTCTAAATTCACAATAAATATGCGACTCATAAAAAAATACTGGTATCATCATTCAGTCACAACAAATCAGTTTAGATAAGCTGGCACACACAAAAAAAAAGAACTATAAAAATTAATAATTCAAAATGAAACAAAATCGTAATGCAGGCACAAGGCGTTAGGCACATGTTCACTGTAAATCACAAGATGAAGTTCAATAAAGCTTGGGTTGTGGCTATTTGGTTTTTCATTATTTTTGTTCTGCGCTGGTAATGTTTACAAACTTGGACAAAGAAGGACGACACTCACACACGAAAGGCGCAACTAACAACTGGTTTATTTTTCCTTCCAAACAGGCATGGTTAAGAAAACAACGCATTGAAAAGAAGAAGAAAAAAAAAGGAAAGGGGGGGGGGGGGGGGGGGCCTGACATAATCAGATCTAACGCTGTCACGGAGTGTAAACACATCTCTAGATCAGATCTTGGCTGCGGTGGCCAATGCACATGTCCGCAACCCATCATGATGCCGCATCTTTTTTAGCAAGTCTATTTCTTTTTCTGTTAAGAGAAACCGACGGTTCGTAGACGCGCTTCCCTGGCGCCATGAAAAAAGGCCTCCATAATTTTTCGCTTCGTCCTTTCACTCGATCTTCCTAAGATAGACTTGATCCAAATAAAGCATCGCAGGGGCGTCTATTACAATGTACTACTGCGAGATTCCCCGAGGCTTGCAGCTGCTCACACGCGTATTCGTGCTATCGTAGCCTCTCATTTAAACATCTGCCCGTTTGCCCTATTTTCCGCTTATAGGGCCAACGGGCAGGTGTGAGGCTACGGGAGCGCAAATACGCGTGCATGTGAGCAGTTGCAAGCCCCAGGGAACCTCACAGCACATTGTACTAGACGCCCCTGCGATGCTTTATTTGGATCAACGTCTAAGATCGTGCGAAAGGTTTTTTTTCATGACGTCAGGAAGCACGGAACGTGCGTCAGTGAACCGTCGGTTTCTCCTAACAAAAGAGAAATAGACGTGCTAAAAAGATGCTGCATCATGATGGGTTGCGGACATGTGCATTGGCCGCCGATGTCAAGATCTGATCTAGAGATGTGTTTACACTTGCGTGACTGTTTCAGATCTCATTATGTATGTCCCTTTTTTTCTATTCAATGTGTTTTTCTTTTTTCTCTCAACCATCCTTGTTTGGAAGGAAAAATAAACCACATGTTACTTGCGCCTTTCGTGTGTGAGGTTCGTCCTTCTTTGTCCAAGTTTGTAAACCTTAGGAGTTCAGAACAAAAATAAATCCCCAGAGTTTGGAATTCCCGAGGCCTATATTGTTGTGAATTAGCGTGTCTTTATTTAGTTCTTGTATTGATGAACTTATAAGGAAAAATTGGCATCGTCGTCAGAAATGTTTAGCAGTGAAGAGAATTAATCATTTAATTTTTTGCTTCTCGTAGTTTGTTCCTTCGTCGTTTTTCATTTTGTACTTCTTAATTCAGATTGTTGTGTTTTGCATAAGTTTGACGTAATAAATACGTTTTTTTAAAGTAATTTGGGCTTTTTAAAATATGTATCACTATGAAAATCGCTAACATTACCACGATAGTTTAAAAAAAATGCTCAGCACTCTTTCTTGGAGCGTGTGTAATTTATTACAGTTTGTCATCGTTGTTGTTCCCCAGACAAGCATTTTGCAAACAATTTTCAAGTAAAACAGTGAATAATACAGGTTTTTCTTGAGCCAGTTCATTATTAAATTTGATATTATCCATAAAAAACAGACCGATTTCGATCAATCACTTCTTATTTTAGTCACACGAGTTGTCCAGGTAAACTGCTCATTAAACCAAATACCAAGGAACGATCTTGTACCTGGGATATGAGGATATCATTAAATTACAGTTGTATTGAGACGTGTCTGGTTGCCCCTTGTCCCCTTCGTCGTCCGACCTCTCCGGTTACAATCATGTGTATTGGGGTGTTATCTCGTTTATGAAGGGGCTAAATATAATGCAGTTTGTTTTGTCAACATTAAGTTGAAGAGGACTATTTTCGAGACATTTTGAAAGTTTCACTAGGTAATCATTTGCCTGCATCTGTAGAGATGTTTTTGCGCTTCCATTAAAAAAAACGTTTGTGTCATCCGCGTACATCAGCATATGTGGAAAATTCGGGATACACATGTCATTTCGATCTATATACGTACAACAAAAAACAGTGTTAGTGTTTACTAGTGTCCTGTCGGAGACTTGGTGACTGGAAATGTGCGTACTGAACAAGTTCTACTCAATCTCGCACGGTGTCTTCAGTTCTGGCAAAGGCTTAATTGCACGAGCGCTCGGGCGTCAAAAGCACTTTCAAAAAGCAAGCGCTCACTCCCGAACCTTTGCCAGCACAGAAGACAACTTATGAGATAGAGGATGAGGGAGATATTTTATAGCAGTATAATTTGAATAGACATTTCTGAAGGCATAAAAAAAGTTCGATTTTGCAGGCGCGCGAATGATGGGCCAGTAAATAAACCCTAAAATAACTTACGTGCGTATTCACCTCAAGAAGTCCGCCTAGCTAATTCAGAGAAGATCCCTCTGAAGATCAACAATGTCCCAGAGAAGACCAATTTTACCCCTAATATGTGAAAATCGTCTCCATTGAGAATGTCGTTTGCCACGCATCTTATGTAGAGCGTTTGGGAATTACAGAATCCTGCACAAATCTTTTTAATATCGCTCGAAGAAATCATTTTGAGCTTCGTCGTTCGGCTTCACCGAATTGGTTTAGATGGTTTCTTTTCGTGTAGATAAGTTGGCTTCTGACCTTTCTCTTTGTCTCGTATTGTGATCCAGCTCCGAGTGTTTCTGAACGACGGGGTCTTAGCTGACGCACGCTATCCTTGCAGGACTCGGGTGGGAAATAACGGCAGCTTCTGCAGCGGCGGCTGCGAAGCTATCCTTGACACTGGAACTTCTTTGATCGCGGGTCCCTCGGACGAGATTGAGAAGCTCAACTTGCTCATCGGAGCTGCGCCATTTGCTTCTGGAGAGGTAAGCCACGTGGGAATCACTTAGTCAGGCAACCGGCGAAATAGATCGCCATTTAAGCTAAGGTAATGTACGCTGGTTTTATGCGCAAAATTAAGTCGACGCAGACTGGGGTATTCGCATCCACATTATACTGTGATCAAATACTTCTTGCGCTATGAGGTTAACTGGAAAATACCCTCAAAATTACATCTGAATTATCGGCTTTTGCCTGGCAAACTTTTGACATGAAACTTTTCCTCGCCAAAACATTGCAACAAATTCCCTGATGTTTTCATTCTGCTGGTTGTGCTTCAATGGCTCGAGGAATCTGTCCATTGGTTTGTCGCGTCTGACGGCCTACGCGTTTACTTGAGAAGTAGTTTGCAGCATCAAACTTAGGCAGAAGAAGCACCGCCTTAACAGAGAGCCTGCCTGCATGGTGTCGATCTTAGTACTGACCTTGCGAACCGAATTTGTGTGCGTCAGCAAGTTCCGTAAATGGCTGTTGCGCTCCGCAGTACATCGTGAGCTGCAAGAGCATCGACAAGCTGCCCAAGATCACCTTCACCCTCGCGGGCAAGGACTTCGTGCTCGATGGGAAGGACTACATCTTGCAGGTGATCTGCTCGCTTACTCAAGAACATGCCTAGTAAATTTTGCTTGTGCGTATTTACATTTACAACATGGACCTTTCTTTAAAAACAGTGCCTTAAATAACACATACTTTAGCTCAGCAAACGTCTAACTTGTTGTATATCGCTATTTGGAATGTCACTCTTGACCCCCTCGCTTATTTAACAATAATGTTTGGGCTAGTTTTCGCTGTTCCTTGTTAAATGCAAAATAGCACTGCAGGGGAAAGAGTGTTAAAAGCGAGCACACCTATCGCTCATTTCACGTCGTGCTCAGTATTGTTTTTCTGATGCTGTTTCGGGTTAATTGTGGTCCTTCAATCATTCACGTGTGCACCCTTCTCGCGTGTCTTTAATATACAGGTTTCAACTTCGTAGCGACCACAGATTTTAAGCTTGTTGTAAAAGCCCAAAGTTCAAAATGCTAAGAATACTTTTCTGTGCTTTTGTTGCCTGCCTTATGGGGACTGAAGCACTCCTCATATGCGTAGCAGAGATCAGGTGCCACCCACGATGCGTCATTGACGCGGCACTAGAGGCTTTGAGCAGATCGTTAAGACAGATCCGGTTCGCTACCTGAAGCACGATCTATCGGATGCGTGTACCGTGTAGGGACCCTCGGTTCGAGCCCCGCACCTCCCCGCTTCAATGTGGATGTATACATTTGACCGACCTGTGTTCTTGGAATCGCTATTGCCTGGTTCGCGTTCAGGACCCCAGGTTAGCAGTCGTATTTCACTGGCTAAATTTTCTAAGCACGAACGTCTAACTTGTCTTGTTTTCATCGGTTCTTTAATATTTTTTTTAGAAGAGTAGCTACAGGGGAGAGAGTGTATCTAGACCTGTTGAAGAGGAGGGAAAGAAGGAACGGGGGAATCTCAGTCCTTCTCTCCCGTTCCTCCTTTCCGTTCTCTTGAGCAGGTTGGCATACGCTCCCTCCCCAGTAGCTTTGACTCTCCTGCACGGTTTTAGCGGAACGGAGTATTGTGACGTTGCTGCGAACAACGTCCAAAAGCTACACAACACGAGAGGGCGGCTTTGAATGGGAACGTGCTTTCACGGAACGAGCACTCGCGCTGCAAAGGCAAGTCTCCAAGCAAGGAGCCCATACCACTGCAAAGGAGGAGATCGAACAGTCACACCTCTAGCGTCACGCGTCAGCTGTGTGGATAATAAACCGAATCCTACGTCTCAGGGTTACTATGGATGTATTTCACCAGCTCGCCTGTGCGTTTTATTTTTCTTCACGAATTTTCTTGCTTGTTTTTGATCAGAGAAATCGAAGATGACAATTCGAAGGCCACTTCACGTTCGACCAAAGCACTGGTCAGAGCGAAGCGCTCGTGCCCAGACCGTGCTAGGCAGGCTTCAATTTCTTTGTTCTGCTGTGTTAGTAAACACCGGGCTGATGGGGAAAACAAGCTCGATAAAGCGCACCCTGTAGTTCGGTCACCCTTAAAGATAAACTAATACACTTCTCGAAAAAAAACGAGTTAGAGGTGAATTCTTGCGTATTTTCATCTCGCGAATCTGAATATCACGTTCGTTTTCTCCGAAGATGTAACTAAACGCAAGGAAACACGAAAATGGGACGCTTAAGCTTCGCCTTTAAGAGTAGAACGCGATAGCTATATATATATATATACAGCCCCGCTCGATTCCCAAGCGGAGGGTTAGCGGAGGGCAGACGCGGTCTACGAACATTCCCTATTAGGAAGTTTTCGTAGACCACGTCTCCCCCTCCGCTAAGCCCTCCGCAACGAAGTAGCCGTTACTGCGCCTGCGCGCCGAAGGCCTTGGCTGTAAAGTTCCGGGTATCGTAGCAAGTTGCGGATAGCGTTGCGGGACAGCGAAAACGACCTACGAAAACTCCCTATTGTATCGTTCTTTCTCAAGCTCTCTCCTGTCTCTTCCGCTCAGATGAGCTCTGCAGGAGTGCCCATCTGCCTCAGCGGCTTCATCGGCCTGGACGTCCCTGCTCCGTTGGGGCCTCTCTGGATCCTGGGCGACGTGTTCATCGGTCGCTATTACACCATCTTCGACCGGGGAAACGACCGCGTGGGACTCGCGACCGCTCGCTGAGACGCTGCGAACGCTGAGGACAGCCAGAACCACTTGTGGGGGGCCCCCGAAATTTACTCGCCGCCTGTCTTTATCTAATGCGATGATTCACCCAAATCACAGCGTACTAGAATCAGGGGGTAGTGTTTGGACCGGCGCGACTCGACAATCGGAACTTGAGGCTGCGCGTGTGGACAACAATTGCGGCGCTGTAGTCGACAGGGCAGCAGAAAGTCGCTGCAGTACGCACGTGCGCGTGCACGCGGTGCACGCGCACACATTACCATACTGACCCTATTGCCGATGCGCCGGTGTCAACACCTATCGCGATCTACACCACACGCCTCACGCGAGCCGCTCCGGTCCCAACACTACCCCGTATTCTGATAACTCTTTGAAGTTTTTTGAAATGGCTATATTCTATTCAAGTACACTGTACCCAAATCCCGGGGCACCAATTTGCGCGAGAGGATCCTTGTCTTCACCTCCTTCCGTTTTCTGTTTATAAAAAGAAAGACGATTATTCAATAAATATGTGAAAAGGTGACTCGGAATGCATGAAAGTTTGTACACAGATAACAGGACAACACAGCGTTTGTGTTGTCCTGTTCTTTCTGTCCTATGTTCTGCGCTGTTCCATTTAGTCATGAACCAACTAGCCCATCAAAGCACACTGCTCAACAAATAGAGCTCGTGTCTATGTTTGAGCATATGCGTTTGTTTCCTTTTGTTCCTTTGCGTCAAATGCGAATATGAAGAGTCGAGATGACGACGCCAAATAGTGTCTTTTTTGTTTTTATCCTGCCAGATCCCAGAAACCTGGTAAGGCTTCTAGGATCTGGCAGGAATAATTGCGAACATATCTGGGTCGTACAAACCCTTACTCCGCGTTTTATCTGTAAACAATCATCAGTGACGAGCCGTGTCTTGGGCGCTTCTGTCAAGCGCACAGTCTTGTCTATACACCGGGGATCGATGGCCGAGTGGGCTAGCGCATACCAGCTCGGAGCACGTGGAGCTCGCGCTGCAGAACCCAGGGATCCTGGGTTCTATCCCCACACCTGCCCGTCTCGATCTGGATGAGCATCGTACCGGCGTGCGGTCGTGTATCACTACTGCGTGGTGCACGTTAAAGACCCCAGGCTAGCGGTTTAGGCAGTGCGGTATACCGCACTCGCTAAATTGCTCATCTACAGCTGAGACACCAGACACCCACTGAGGCCGACTAACTTCCGGCTGCATGAACATACACACAACAATTTGCTACACACGTTACTCAAAAAAAGTCAGCGATCACAATTACTCTTGCTTACATCGTATTCAGTTAGATTACTCGATTACTCGAAATGAAAAATAATTTATCATTACTTGAAAAAGTAACCGTTAGTTTTCTGATTAGAGTAATAATAAGTTTCACTGGATCAAGCCACAAATCGTCGGGATCGTTTTGGATCGACCGGAACCATCGAAGCCGTTGACTGGAACCGGCCCGTTTGAGGCCGGAGCCTCGGATGGAGCGCAAATTGAAGTTGGAGCCTCCTGACTGACACTGGACTTGACCGAATCTGACATGGATCTAACATTTTCCTACAAGACGCTGCATTCGAAGTGCGAGTGTGTCCCAGTGACTCGCCATCGCTTCTCGACGGAACTTCCAACGCACTCAAGCGCAACAGTTTGTATAGGCCCAGTATTGACCAGCGCACCTGGCCAATACTCGGGTCCAAGGTATCGAGCCAGTTTCTAGTCACAAATTTGAGAGATTCCATTTTTGCAACCTATTAATCCGACTAACGGTCTGTAAGATACGTATTAAACAGAATAATTTTTGAAAACAGCCCAAGTACAGCTGCTGTATAACGTATAGTCGAAGCGATTGTGCCACTGGGATTGTGCTTTTCCTATTTCCAAGCTACCTGCTTGAAAACCGCGTGCGCACAGTGGAACATATTGATCAACCATCGTTGGATCCGTCGTGTACGAAATAGACCAATCTCACCAAGCGTTTGGCGCATGCGTGACGCCGCTATAACTTTAGCGCACAGGAGGCAGACGGCAGTGCACGAGGGGACTCGTGCGATCTCGTGCTCTACACGCGCAGAGTTCCATGCAGCGAGGTTGTCGCACGTGCAGAAAGGCTATAGAGTCCCCTCGATGCATTGCGGCAGCGGTGGCGTAGTCAAACTGGCTGGTGGGATCGGTCTATTTAGAGGAGCCACTCATTTTACCTGCGAAAAGACGTCGACTGCGCCTACAGTCTCCTGGAAGAGGCCTTCGCAGAATGTTCCGTACCAGTCCATCTCAATGGTGTCAATTGTTCAGAAGAAGGCTCCGAAACTTCAGTTACTTTCCATTCTATTCACGGGATCATTTGTATCTTTAATTGCACTCCAGCCACCGAATCGCGTTAATTGGTGTCAGCAAGAGCGGCCAGCGTCAGGATGTTCTGAGCTTGGTGACGTTAGTCGCCGGGTCTTGTCGCACGAGGCTCTTGTGCACGGCTGCCAGCAACGGGTGGACTGTGCCGCACAGGCCGCGAAAGTCGTCGACGCTGATGTCCCACACCAGCACTCCGGCCAGGGACGCGTTGTGAAGCACGCACATCTTGAGGTCGATGCTTCTGCTGTCGTCAAAGATCACCCACTCGTGGTTCCTGAGGAGCGGGCGCCGAATACCGATCATTAGCCGTATCTCAAAAAGATGGTCGTATTATGCGCTGTACGACAGTTAAAGCGCGGAGAGAGCTAGTCAGTAGTAAAGAAAGAGCTTGTAATAGAAAGCACAAAATTGTGAATAATGTCAACTTCGCACAAAAATATACGCAACTATTGTTGGGTTATTTACTATGGCAGCGGTAGCTGGCAGCGATGAAAGAAACTTGGCAGGTTTATTTTTGGAAGGATTAAATTCTTATGCGAATTACCAACTTGCTGCTTTCGTCGCTTTTTGTGTGGCACGTCTAACTTTGCCGAAGTACACAGAACAATTGTATTGCCTCAATTCTAAAAAAAAAGAAACAGCTATGGCATAATTTCAAGACGGGCAACATCGGAAGCTAAAGTGAATATTTCAAACATTCATTAGTCGGTTTTAGGTAATTCGATTAATGATTATCACTTTACAATGTCCACCAGACATCCGTCGCGGTCGATAACATCATCTACAAACCAAAGTACCTTTATCGTTTACGTTTAAAGCGATGAAGCAAACTGACTAACAAATAAAAAAAAAAACGCAACGCTAATTGAAGCAAAGGAAAATGCTAAATAAAGCAAAACGCACGAATGGAAAATAACGTTCCCAATGTCCGCCGACGTTTGGCACTGTTTTTCACGAGTCGAACCAAGGATTTAATTAGGGCACGGGGGCACTCGCCGTTCCCAAATATTATTTGTCATTGAACTCAGAAACCAATATATCAATCAATATCAATGTCGTTTTTTTTAGTGGTGTTCGGGGTGGCCCATGAACAATATATCGGTTTGTACTGTATCAGTAAATTACGAACCACAGAAAGTCGAAATTCAACCTAACGCTAAAATTAACGGTGAAAAAAAAAAAAAAGTGAAAGTTTTATTTTATAAGATCGTTTAACTCAGGATTTTAAACAGGTTTTTGAAATTTTGCAACATTGAGATGGCTTCGTTGAAAGCAGATGCCCTCACGCTTCGTGTATGCAAAACTCAGAGAAGCGTCATGCACACATCATCAATTTTTAGAAACCACTCTCAGTTTGTTTTCAATTTAGGTAATGTTCCGAAATGAAATATTCGCATTTTATCAGCATCGCCAACGTAACTTTTAGTGGAAGTTCCAGCTTTCTTAGGCCATTTGATGCATAAACACTGGGAACTTTTTGCCTGCATAGGCATAAAGAAAAAAAAAGCATACATAAAGTAAATTACTGGAAGATGCATCAAGGTACATTTTCTAAAGCCCGACTCCCACGCTGCGATTTTGCTTTTGATGTAGCGATTGCGACGTTGCTCGTGCGTCAAAAAAAAAAAAAAAAAGACGAGAGCGCCGCAGGTACGAAATGGTGTTATGTGAACGAAGAGAGAGAGAGGGGGGGAGTATGCAACACTCGCTTGTGGATGAAGCTCGACAGAGAATCCGAGTCGAACGCGGTTTCCCAGTTGCCCTGTTTGAGGCGTTCGCAGACGGTGTAGTAAGGCAGCGTGCTGGAAATGGACAGGTCCGCCGCCTCGAGGCCCTCCGCGATCCGGAACGAGCTGGCCTCCAGGCTGAGCGTGAGCACCAGCTTGGACACGGGGACCCCGCAGCGTCGAAGCAGCGCGATGGCGGCTTCCATGCTGGCGCGGCTCTCGGCCGCCGCCTTCCAGGACGGCTCCTTGCGCACCTTGACCACCAGCAGGTCGACGAACTGGGCGAGCTTGACGGCCGCGTTGCGGGTCTGGAAGATCCCGGCTTTGGGTGGCACCACGACTCCCAGCTGGAGCTGGTGCACTTTGAACAAGGAGCCGAGCTTCTTGACGAGCCGCACCATAGCGTTGCGCGTCGCCGGGCGTGCTGGGAACATGCCCGTAAAGAGAGCGCCGTCCAGAGAGTTGCCCAGGAGCCAGCGGACCATGTTGCGGGAGAACCTCGCCGTCACATCTGCGTTGTTGGCCACGTGAAATATGAGGCTGGTCACGTTCTCGAAGGCGCCGACACTCACGAGCAGCCTGCGGAGCGAAACAGTGGACGACGTTAGCCGCAGGTGCGTGTACCTCCCGGCAGCTGATGATCTAAGACCCCGGGTCACAGCAAGTGCTGCGGGAGCGCATGCTCTTCTCGGAAGAAAGGAGATCATGAGTTTCCAACGCAGTTAAAGGGCAACTACGGTCAATATTTTCAAATCTCGGATTACGAATGTTTTCAGGTCAGTCGGTGTCACTAAATTACAAACATATTTATTTTCCTCAAAACTATGTGTAGTTTTCTAAATATCACGGCTCAGAGTTCGGTTTTAGGTGGCAAAAACCAAAACAATCTCAGAGGAATGGCAACAATGATCACCTGACGTGACGTCAGTGCTGCACCTGCAACGCGTTCTCTGTCGGTCACTAAGTGCGCTAGTTAAGAGAACACAGCGCGGCGGACGCTGCGATGCGATCGACCAGATGAAGTCGTCTAGGCGCATGGCTCGTTCACACTTGCGGATTCGCAGGCGAATCCGCGGGGAAATTGACGCCGGCAGGGGGAATTCCCTCGCCGGCGACGGAATATTCGATCACGGGAGCAATCGGTCCGGGACCGATTTTTCCCGCGCAGAAAAAGTTTCCACGCAGCCAGTCGGAACGCACGGAGGGAATGGCGCTTGCCAGCGTCACATCCTGGCCGATCGAGTCGCCCGAGTTGTTGGGGGTTGCCATCGGAATTGCTAAGATGTGCATGAAAACGGCGTATCGTTGTGTCGGCAGAAATGCTGATTGGGACTAACTTGTTCGACCCTGTTCGACAAGAGGCATCTGAGCAACGAAGACAGAGCCCGCGAAGGAGATCTGGGGAATACAAGTGGCGTGAGTGGGTACACTCTAAAAAACGTCTGTGCGTCTACTTTCACGCACAACACTCGCAGAGCCAATCAGCGCAACTTACGGAGGCAGCTCAGCGAATGACGATGCCGAAACATATGTTTAGACCAAAAAAACGCAGTCTGAGTTGTGACATTAAACAATGCAAAACGTCACGCTTGCATTGCTTAATGTCACAACTCAGACTGCGTTTTGCGGTCTAAACATATGTTTCGGCATCGTCATTCGCTGAGCTGCCTCCGCAAGTTGCGCTGATTGGCTCTCCGAGTGTTGTGCGGTAAAGTAGACGCACAGACTTTTTTTTAGAGTGTATACGTACGCACGTTGTCTCCGTTTGCTCGTTATTTTTATTCTTTCCTTCTCGTATCACCGACAGAATGTTGCGCATCTTCTCGGCACTGCGAGTTAGCGTTCACTGCAAGAGGAACTCTGCGAGAGCTTTCTCTTTTTAACACCCCTCGAGCCAGGGGCAGTCTGTTCGGATATTTGCGAGAGACCGGAGACGCGCAAACGCGACAAGTGGCAGCAAACGAGAACGGTGCCGTCTTTTTCCGCCCAGGAAGTTCGGTCGGCTACAACAGAGCTTTTCGCAAGTGTGAACGCAGCCTTAGCTGACAGCGTCTCTGCCGTCCAGATACCGTCCAACTGAAAAAAAGAAAAAAAAAACATACAACGTCCATCGTCCAAAAAAAAAAAAAAAAATCTCGTTCGCGGGCGCGCGCATTTTTCCGTCGGAGTGTCTGCTCTGACCTCACTAGATCCTTGGAAAAGTAGCGCCATTGCCCTGCCTGCTAGCCGGACACAAAGAGGTTCTAACATACAGATGACAGAAACCTCGAAAGACGACTGGCTGAGAGGTTTCTCTTGCCATGGCAATCGCCATTTCGGTTCACGCAGATCTTCGAAGCTTCGAAAGCGTCGTTCTGTATCAGTCGCTCGCCAAGATCGCTATGAAGCTTCATCGTATACCGAAAGCGTTTCTCGACAATATAGGGTGAGGTGGGGCGAGACATTCTGAATTTTGCGTCATCTGTATTCGAATCTTGGAATGTGATTACCTTAATACTTTGCCGACATGTTCCGGCTCTTGTACGCTTTACTTAATAAAAAAAATCTGCTACAATTGTTGGAAACAGGCTGGCGAAACGAAATCGCACATTTAATGTTCATGGACTGACGAAAAGCCAAAATGTGGGGAAATTATGCACTTGCAGTCTTCTAAAGAATGCAACTGCGTTAAAAAAAACTACTGCGCCAAGTTCATTTTTCTATTTGTCTGTTTTATTAGCGCACTGCAGGTACAATTTTAACGCTCTGGGTATTTATTGTTAGGACTATACAATTGTCTAATTAAGAGTATATGCAAGGGCAAAACGCGACAATTTCGTCGTCAAAAGGAGTAAACTGATTTTTGGCGGGTTCCGTGTTTGTTTCGAGGCTATAGCTATGTATTTTATTGTCTATGATGGATCCTGACGTACAAGAAAAAACAGCTAGGGCTTTATGGTGCGACAGTAACCTCATGAAAGCACTTAGAAGCGTGCATCAACAGCGTCAGTCTATTTGGGCTGCAGCTAAAGCATTCGCGATACCTAAAGGAAAGCTGAAGAGGCTCGGAATAAAAACGAGTTAGTGGTGAATTCTAGAGTATTTTTATCCCGTCAATTTGAATATCACGTTCGTTTTCCTTCAAGATGTAAACTAAACGCGAAAAAACACGAAAAAAACTCCGATCAGTCGTTACGTACACATCTTTCGGCCGCCAAGCGCGTGTCGCTCGTGGGGGCAGCGCACGCAATGGCAAGCGTGTCAGGGCCCGTTTGCTCGAAGCGCTCACCGCGGCTAAAGTTAGCCGCAGTACCTAGGAGAGGGATTTTGAGATCACGTGACTGGCTCGGTAGGGATGCGGGGAAACATGGCGGTGCCCCAGTAAGTGAGCGCCGCTCGCTTTGGAACTAATATGTCGTTGTAGCTGCAATATCGGGCGCGTTAGTCAGCAAAGAGTAATGCAGGAGGCTTTCGCTTTGCTTTACCTCACTTAAACCGCAAAGCATGGGCAATGGCATCGCCGCATTTTTTAGATAGTGTTTCGATTCTGGGCATTACTAAGCCTAAATGAAAGCGATCATTGTCGTCATGGCAACGTCTTTGGAAAGCGGATTGTTGATAGCACACAAAAGCAGACAGCGTCCCGACAGACTTTTTTCTAAATTATCCAAGCATCGCGAGGAGAACACTGGAAGTGTAATTCTACGGTTCACGCGCGCTGGCCTTCCTTTTATAAAAAAATTGAAGTAAAAAATCATAATAAGGCTTTAACGAACGCGCGTGCAAGGCAAAATTAGTTTTATACATTTTGCTTTAGAACGGTTACTACTGCAGACGCCAGCACTTGCGACGCGTGCAACTACCAGTCGTAGCATGCACCTCGGTGCTTGGATAATTTAGAAAAAAGGTCTGTTGGGACGCCGTCTGCTTTTGTGTGCTATCACCAATCCGCTTTCCAAAGATGTTGCTATGCCGACCATTATCACGTTCATTTAGGCTTAGAAGTGCCCAGAATCGAAACACTATCTAAAAAATGCGGCGATGTCATTGCCCATGCTTTGCGGTTTAAGTGAGGTAAGGCAAAGCGAAAGCCTCCTGCACCATTCGTTGCTGACTAACGCGCCCGATATTGCAACCACAACGACATATTAGTTCCAAAGCGAGCGGCGCTCACTCACTGGGGCACCGCCATGTTTCCCCGCATCCCTACCGAGCCATTCACGTGATCTCAAAATCCCTCTCCTAGGTACTGCGGCTAACTTTAGCCGCGGTTAGTGCTTCGAGCAAACGGGCCCAGGTATTCCCCCGCACTAGCACCAATTATGACGTCTTTTTTTTTTTTTTACTTTTTTTTTTTAATGCTAAGAGTGCGGTTGCATAGCTTTGATATAGGGGCTGAAGATGCGAGAGAGCGGAGATTGTGAAAACTCCTAATTTGACGTCACGCCTCGAGAAGGAGGGGCTCCAGCGGTATTTTGAAAATGACTTTCTACAGCCTCCGTGCACCAAACTGGAAAATAATCTCGATATTCGTGATCCTGGGGGCCAAATGAAGACGATCTAGGTGTTTTTCCTCAAGTACAAAACCACTTCAGTCTCCCTTCTAATGATGCACTCCAAAGACGTTCAAGGAAAATCAAGGAAATGGCAAAAGCGAATTCGGATCCGAGCAACAAAATAATCCCAATCAGCAAAAAAAAAAAAAAAAAAGAGAGATTGTTAAGCATATTGTGTGTTCGGAGAAGTCCCTTTTGGCGCTCACGTACAAGGGATATCACCTATTGTGAAACAGATGAAACTGAGGAGGATTATTCCAAGTAACGGATATAATCCGCAGACCCTCGAAGCCGGTAAAGCGGAGGCGTTCTGCCGACGAGCGCCAGTGTGGCTGGCAGCGCCTGGCGTCCGTAGAAGTGTGGAGCGAAACAGCCACCCCGTTTTGCGTATATACAAAACACGGCGTGAAAATAGGGCTCCCACAAAGATTGTGTGGGGTTCCCCGGTGTATTCTTCAATCGTTCTGAGTGCGAGAACTGGGCCCTGTTTTTATTTTTTGACAGGGCGTCTCCTTTGACCCACCCGCGGTCTCGTTTTGCCTCGCGGGGGTCGGGGCAAATTGATACGTTTGTCGCTCTTTATTATCAACAAATATCTTGTAGTTCTACTAACTCCAGTATGGACATTTTTACAGACCGCAATGCCAAGACGCCAAAGAAGATATTGATACCATTTTTTTTCTTGATTCCCAATAAAAAGAAAAATACAGCATCGATTGGCAAACCTGTCTTATTTTGCCCCGCCTTACCCTAAGCGTCTTTGGCACACCGTATCAAATCAACTTACCAATTATGCTGGTTTTCGCGGATACTTTATAATTATATTGATCTTTTTTACCTATTTCAAGACGGAAATGAGCTCTCAATGCCGCCAATTAAGCACCGACGCCGTAGGTGGTGGCGGACCAAAGATGTACGCTTGTTTCGCCGGTGTTTGGATAGAAAAATCTCGTTATAGGAGAAATCTATTTCTAAAGCAACCTGTCGCCGGGTATTTGGATCGGCTTACCAAGAATGAAGAGATCAAAGAGAAGCTGCTCATTCCGCGAACCAAAATGCCGATAATACGAGGAGTTTGGTGCTACTTCCCCAAAATCCAGTGACTTAACCTTGACGGACGCTGACTTGAACACCGTGTCAGAGATCTCTCTACTTGAACGCGTTGATAAGACTGTTACGGCCGCCCTTGAGACACGAGGGTGAATGACGAAGCAGTGTCTAAGCAACCCGCGCAGCGCAAGTGCCAAATTCTACATGACGTGGCGTACACAAAGAAAAAAAAAATGTTTTGATTTTAAAAACAATCACGTCTCCCATCGAGAAGCATGGAAAAACGGGCCCGTGTCAGGCGGCTACTAGCCGCTTATCGCGGAGCCATCTGGTGCCGCCGCTTGAAACCAAGGCGAGGAGAGGACTTTATCTGTCAGCTGCGACGAGCGCGGTGTCCACACCTATACATTGTATATCCAGACATGGAAGTAATCGGTTACAAGTATCGGAATTAATTGTAATCCGCTACGTTCTTGAAATTGTAATTTGTAAAGTAATACTTTCTGAGTAACTAATTACTGACGATTAGTCGTTAGATGTTGACCTACCGCGCAAAACGAGAGGCACACAGGACGCGGGTCAACGGGGAAGAAAAGAAAGGAATTGACGGGAAACGCGCAGGAATCCCAGTCTACTCTAGACATATCACTTGTACCATCGGCCAGGACGCTTTGACTCTGACTGTGGCCAAAGATACTTCGAGCGCCGGCTCACAAACAATGACCCATACACCTGTCAGGCGGTGGCGCAGGAGCCGCAGTGCATACTCCGCCTGTAATCCTGTGAGTAACTGTAATTCTAATTCATTATTTATTTTTAGTGACGGGCACAACGCTGTATATATCTTGGACCGTGGCACCGAAGCAAGGCATGCAGCGCGGTTGCATCGCGATATCTGGGGGTCATGTTTCAGAATCAATGAAGTCAAAGCTATAGGGTGCCCGTGCGCTCGCACACTTTGAGCACCCATGAAAGCTGACGCGCACTTTAGACTTCTTCTAAAATGCCACAGAACGTTGACTCCAAGTATATACTGTTGTTTCTTGCTCGCGGGAATGCGAATCAATGGTATACATAAGATGAAGAAGTTAATACTGTTTCAACGTGCAATTGAGCAGCGTGAGTTTCACACGCTGTATGGCTGTTTGCCGGTGGGTTTCCCACGCTGTACCGTACGGCTGGTGGGCATAAGAACCAAAGAACCGACATTACGTCGCTGCCCAGTATACTGCTTGAATAACAGTTAACCCGCTGGCCTCCTGCTACAGGGCAGGTGGTCGAATCTTTTCGAAGGAGCCATAAAATGAATTTCGGGCTGGGATAAATGATCTCAGGTTGAGATTTTACTAATCGCATATCGTTTAGTGGGTTAAAAGATAGAGACTAGAAAGTCAAAAGTCTGCTCTTCGGTACAAAAATTTTCGAAATATAGCGGTCGATTTTGTGCCTTCTTTCCTTCGAAACTACTCCGCCTTTTCACTGTGATGCATCCGCGGAAGACGAGCACGTCCGTCGTACCCAGCTCACGCTTCGGACACGCACTCTAAAAAAAGTTTGTGCGTCTACTTTCACGCACAACACTCGGAGACCCAATCACTGCAACTTGCGGAGGCAGCTCAGCGAATGACAATTCCGAAACCAATGTTTAGACCAAAGAACGCAGTCTGAGTTGTGACATTAAGCAATGCAAACCGTCAGGCTTTGCATTGCGTAATGCTACAGAGCAGACTTCATTTTTATGTCTAAACGGATGTTCCGCCTCATCAGATTTCGTAGCTCACAGAGATTGGCTCTTGGAGTGTTTTGAGGGTCAGTAGACGCGCAAGCATTTCTTAGAGTGTATGATCATATTTCGGACCTCTACAGCGATTCCAGTCGGTCATTTTCACTCGAGTTTTGAACGAACCTGGGTCCCTTGAGCCGGAGCGCTCGCACCGCGGGCCAAAAGACCGGTTTGGTGGCGTTGTGGTACACGTCGTAGTTGATCATGTCGTTGAACCAGTCCTTCAGACCCGGGACGGAGAAGACAACGTGAGAACAGAGTTTGGTCGGAATGAACTCCACCTTGTAGGTCCAGGGGTCGGGTCTCGCGAAGCTTTCGACGTTCAGCTGGCACAGTGTGAAGGCCCCCGCTGGCCCTTGGTGTCGAGGTCGACCCTGGTCTTCCATGTGGGGTAGCTCCGACAGATAACGCACCTGGAAAGTTAGAGCAAGGTGGCCCTTATTATCGAGCTTTGAGGAGCAAGTGCCTTTGGCGAATTTTCTTTTCGCCAAAACGTAAAGGTCACAAGGAAGGCGCTGGCCCAGGTCATCATGATTCCACTACAGAACAAATGCGAGCTTCCACTAGAAGGTTTAGGCGCTCAGTGTCCCTGTGTCAATTGCATTTCCGGCACACAACCTCATTTTCGGAAGGTCCGTCCTTATCGGACGCTTTTGGCCTGAATCTCAGTACGCTCCGCGTGGAAGTGGACGCGGGAATGTTTCTAGGCGCGTAAACGTGAGGGAGAGGATGGGTAGGAGCAAGGTTCACCTTTCGGAAGTAGGGGATGAGCGCGCCCGGCAGCACGACGAAAAACACGACCACCAGGAGCATGCACGAACTGACCGTGTACACGTACGAGGTTTGGATGAAGGGGTCTCCCGTGTCGACACTGGGAAGGTCTCGCCTGCTCAGCAGGCTCTGCTCTGACAGGCGCATCGTCCAGCGCTCGAAGACCTTCCGCTTCTTCTTTCTTGTCGGCCGCGCCACGAGGCCGCTCTCGCTCAGCAACGGAGTCCCGTGCCTCGCGGCTTCAGCAGATACTTTAGATACCGTGAGTGCGCAGGTTGAGGACGCAGCAGGCATTCTGCAACGAGCTCTCAACAGCTGAGCGACGGAGTGGTATAATGCAATGGCCGATAATGCCATCATAAAACAGCGCGACTTTGATTATACGTAAATAAAGCTGCATTGCGTAGCAAAGGGGTTTCTTCTGAGTGTATTCTTTTTCTGGAATAGACTCCTTCCAAAAATCCTTGTACGCAATGGGCGTGTTCAGTAGCGGCCCCGGAATCAAGGAGTCACTGACTCCTTCGACTGGACGGCCAAAAGTCACTTCCGATGCACGTAACTCCGAGGCTTCGGAGTCAAGCTCCGAAGCACCGAGTCCGGAGATGGTGCACGTAGAGTCAAAGGAGCTAAAGATGACGTCATTTCCTGACTAGTGACGATTTCCGGCGCTAAAAGAGGAAAAAAATGGCGGGATAAGCTGCGTCGGTTTTGTCGCGGGTGTGCGGTTTGCTCGATTTTGTTAATAGGGAGGTTTAGAATAACGTACGCAATTTTAGCGCACGCTAGCGCTAAATGTAGCGCTTGTATTAGCGCACGCGACGCGAGAGAGTTTTAGAATAGCGTTTCTCCGCCGCGACGCAAAAGCCCAAGCATCTCGTGCTTGCGACGCCACCAAGATACAGTAAAAAATTTTATTTCACACACGAAGTGATGTAACTTCAGAAGAAAACGAGTTTTTTGGTCCAGAGTAGCATTTTAATTTGTTTAAACATGAGAACGCGACGCGAGCGGTTGACCGGTCGTGTCCGCTTGCGTCGCCTCGGCAAGAGAGGTCTCGTGTACTGACCTTCGCACATCGTTCCTTCGCCGTGAAATGTTCGCGCGTCGCAAGCATCAAGTTGCCGGTGATCGCTGCCAAACCGAGTACATTGTCGTCCCGTATTGAAAATTGCAGTCGCGAGAATGCCGCCGACGTCGCACTCACGACGCCGCCAAAGCAGCCGCCGACACCATCCTGGAAGCCGCCATTTTTTTTTAAACTCTGCTCGTCTTGGCTTAAGCCAACTTCTCATCACGAATCCTCCTTGGAGAAGCGCAAAGACTCTTTGCGTACGCACGCTATTTCCGAGAAATAGCGCACGCTAAAATTGCGCACGCAAAGCGCGAAACCTGGTTTGCGTTCGGAGCATGCGCAGTGGCGACGACGCTATTCTTTGCGCACGCAAAGCTTTAGCGTGCGCTATTCTAAAACTCCCTAATGAAAAGTGCTTAAGGTAAGACGAATAACGGGTTAGAATTTCTTTTCCAGGTAAGGCTCTTTTCGGAAAATGCATTGGACCGTATTTTGTTGGGTTTGAATATGCTAATAAACAAGGTAAACGTTCATTTGGCGCCGTCTCTTGATCGCCGTTGCACGGAAACTCGGTGAATATCGACGATAGTCCTGTCCGCGCTGAACAGAGCAAGGCAGGGTATGAACGCGAATTCGGTAACCGGTTGGACGCTCACGCAGAGCATGATCCCGATTGATGTTTTGTTTGCGTAGCTAAATCGGGGTGCACGTTGGCTGAGGCTCGTTTCGGCCGACAAAACCTTGATCGCCGAGCGCGGCCGAACTTCCCGTGTGCATACGAATAATTTTTATAGGAAGTTCTCAACGAAGGGCAGAACAAACGTATGGCTGTATAATAGTATCGCAACCGGCGGCGTAGATTCGCCGAGCTCTATATTTTGCGTGTGCTGACGACGTTTATGTCGGTTTTTATAACAGTAGCTGCCTTTGCACCGCCCAGGGAAGGGCTTGATCGCGTTGCATCGCTTCAAACTGCAGCGCTGATATGTAGTCACTCGCTTTTTCTTCAACGACCTTGTAAAAACTTCTTCAATACCGCCGTCAAGTAAAAGCGATCGTGCTCGCCATCGTCTGCTTCCAGTTTATTCGGAGACCGTCTGACACAGGGGAGAAAACGGAAATTGCGTAGAAGCAGATTTAAAACCGCAAGTTTTGTTTGTTTTTTCGTTTAGTAGTCGTTTCGACTGACTCCGTTCGGAGCTGAGGGAGCCGCTACTGAACGCGCCCAATGTGTAGTCCTCGTTTGCTATTGGGCACTTTAAAAAAATACAAATACAAATACAAATTATGGGACCCCTTTGGCCATGGAGGCAAGTGGCATGGTTTCGGTTTCGATCGCCCCGTTGACGGAGTATTGCATCTCCGCACTGCATGAATATGAAGTCGGCGCTTGCTTGCATTGCACCCACTCGTCTTCATGAGAGCCCCCGTTGAAATACGGACCTTCAGAGGCAGTAAAGGCCTGAAGGCCCGTGTTCTCAAAGTGAGGAGTACAGATACGCAGACGTTGTGATGAATGAAAAAAGAAATTGCCACCTTGGCTATAGTATTATTAAACTTCGAATCGGAGTGCTCAACGACTGAATTAGATAACCACAATTATTGTTCAGCGTACAGACGAACTTTGAATGGATGCCTATATATATCACTGCAAACCGAGTAATTTTGGAGGCCCATTTTAAGTTATAATTCTCGAAATACCGAGACGAAGGTCAGTTTGTTGCTAGTTCCACCTGCTAACTTCCGTTTTTAGCCTTCTCTCGTGTTTTAATGCGATTAAAATTTCACCGTTGGTTCCAGTTGGCACATGCTGAAAAGTTGCTTTCTTTTTACAAATTGCCCACCAGAGATGACGAGTTTGTGTTTTGTTGCCAGTGCGTCCTGCACTGGCAGCAGATCGTGAACTGCATAGAGGTAATCGGGGTTGCGTCAGGGAACGCGAGTCAGCAGCAAGGACGACTCGCGTTCTCTGGGGCCTTCGGCACAGATGCCATCATCTTGCTTCTTCCCACGCCTAGGCACGCGTACATTTGGTGCGCCGCTTCGACCTGTCAAACCAACATGAGCTCCTTTCTGACATGGGCTCTTGTTTATCCCCCGCGTGAGGCACTTGACCAGGGCAGTACGGATTTGCGATGACCCGCAAACTTTTATGTGCTCCATGCTTTCTCGACGAGTTTACTCCGTTTCACTCTACGTGCGCGCCAAGCAGAAGCAGCGGCCGATGACGCGCGCTTGGTGCAGTGCAATCATCGTCCAGAGAAACGTGTACGTGCCTATAGCTTCGGCTTCGCTCGCACGTAAGGCGAAACCAGATACAGTGAAACTGGGTGATACAAGCTATGCGCCCAGAAAGTGCGGAGAAGACAAGAGGGGGAACGCCGAGTTGTGGGTTGGGTGATTACTGGCTGGACCGTAAGCTAGCCGCCTTTGTCTCCACGGCACACGTCGAGCGCGTTCGAATGCGAAAGCCAAGCGCCAAACGCCGGGGTTCCGCGTTTTCTATTGCGCTCCACGAGTGCAGTGGAGAAAAGGGCTGCCTTTGTCTCCGCTCCACTTGTCCAACGGAATAGGCCCCCTGCGTTGCCCAGGGGGCGCTGCGAGAAGAGACTCGTTAGGACTTGGTTTGGGTAGTACAAAGTTGAGCATCTCATACTGCCACACATGTAGAAGCATGCCTGCTCTGGTGCAAAACGCGAGATCGCAAAAAAAACAAGAAACACACACAAAAAAAAAAAAGAATTCAAATGCCGTCGAAGCACAGGCCAAAGCTAAGAAAGGCTGAACTAGGGTGCCTCAATGTCCTTCTGTTTAGGGTGATGCCACCCTTTGTAGTACCACATGCCGACAGCACGCGCTCACGGGGAAAACACAAAGAATTCGACGAAAACAAAATGCCGCCATAGCACAGTCAGCGCCACAAGCGCGTGCAGGGACACGCTCTTTCACGCGCTTCTGAACAAAAAATAAAAATAAACGTGTGTGACAAAATGGCGAGGTGCCACCACCCTAAGCAGAGCGCACATGAAGGCACCCTAGGCTGAACTCTACTGAGCGAATTATGCGACAAATAACTGACGAACGCCGCCCGACGGCACGCTCGCTTTGCGCGCGACGTAGCACCCACTGTGGTGATGCCACGCGCAGAGCAAAAGCCGCCGGGCAAAATTCGTCGATTTTTCGCAGCATATTCGTCCCGTGGAGTCGATCGAGCCTTAAGGCGTATTCACACGAGGGAGAAATCCCGGGGATTTCTCCACGACACGCGCATCCCGCGACAAAAACGTTAGGCTTTGGGATATGCAAAAGCCTCGTGTTTTCGTCTCGTGATGCGCGGTGGAGGCTTGAATCTGGCACTTTCGATTGTCTTGCGGCATTGAATCTTACCGATTTTGGACGGTTACGCTTATATCCTAAAATAAAGGGGAGGCAAAAAGAGAAAGTGTGACGGTTACGCTTATATCCTAAATGCCTTCTATTGGCGTGGCAAAGGCAAAACAATGTTTTCGCCCATACTGGAAGTGACGTCAATTCAAGATGGCGGCGCACTTGCAGAAAAGGAGCTTTTTTTTTCTTTTCGTCAAATTCGGAGGGCGTTTTTCGGAGTTTATTTTTTGCTGAAAATTCGGAGTTTATTTTTTATTTATTCCCACATCTTCGATATTCTGAGTTTATGTTTGCAGTGTTTTTTATTAAAATAACTAAATAATATCCGGGGGGGGGATATTTATAAAGCGTGTAGTTGGTCAGCCATTAAAGTTGCGACGAGTCACACGCTGTAGATGAGCAATTTAGCCAGTGCAGTACAACCGCTAGCCTGGGGAATAATATCCGGGTGTAAACGCTGTTGTCATAGAAAAGAATAAAGATCGTCGTCGGCCGCGCGGGGCCGGTCGGTGCTCGGGGATGAGCGCGTGGGCAGAATGAACCTGCACACTACCAATGGCGGTTGTTGCTTGCTGGATACCTGCAATTTGGCAGCGTTTCCCTATGCTGGGCCCGGGGCGGCCGGTAGAGTCCGCCCTGGATTCTGGTCTCGCCCCTCGAGAGGGACCTCATGGCGTGAGCAAGACGCGATGTGGGTTCGACGCGGTCCGGGCTCTCGTCCCGGCGCAGCTTAGGTACCGAGAGCCCGGACCGCGTCGAACCCACATCGCGTCTTGCTCACGCCATGAGGCCCCTCTCGAGGGGCGAGACCAGAATCCAGGGCGGACTCCACCGGCCGCCCCGGGCCCAGCATAGGGAAACGCTGCACTCCCGTTCCCGCTTTAGCCGAGGTGCCACAACATGGACAGCGACATTTCGCTAATGGGGGCCCTGTCCCCTGGAAAGGTGATGGCGCGACTCCCTGCAATATCCTGGATTCAAGTCATCACGGCATTCGTGTAGTTCTACTGCATCATGTGCCATTGTATCTTTCTCGTGCTCATCGCACTGTGGATGTTCATCAAGGGAGTGTCCAAGCGGTCTGCGGTTCGACGGAATGCCCGATACGGGTACCTACAGCAAAGAAGACACACCGTATCGACGACTAGTCACACCCGCCTCCCCGACCATATCTCCTCACACGTCTTTAACACAGCGTTGGCACGACGGAAGACGGAAGAAGCAGATGACAGCGCGAATGAAGCTCTCCCAACGCCAGGGGCAGTGGTCTCCCCACTACCTGAGCCCGAGTCACGCCTTCGGACCTTTCCTGGGCCCTCTGGGCTTCTTCGCCGCTCCCCCGGGACCCACGTCGGCGCCCAGCGCGCACTCTGGTCCTCCCGGCCAGCTGTGCCGAGACTTGAGCCCGCGGTCATCGCCGAACCACAGGGACGACGAGGACAGTTCCGCTGAGGACAATAAGTATAGTGCGACGGTCGTCTGTTTTCTTTTCATGACCGTACATGTCTTATGCAAGGCTGAAGATTGGAGCGGGACCAGTCCTCGATGGAGCTGGCGCACTGCGGTGATATTCGTGAGAACTTGTGCGACTGTTTGTGCGTGAGGTTACGACAGTGAGTGGTGATTGACTTCGGACGAAGAACAGTTTATCTTCTTGCCGTCTGGGTTGGAAGTCGTCGATCCTCCGAGACGAAAGCAGTTAGTGCAAAAAGCTGGATGTGTAGGGCAATCGCGCAGGGTTCTTGCAAAGGAGAGGACGCAGAATGCCCCGATGAACTACTTCAGCCATTTCAGCGGAGCGGTGGAAACCGTGGTGATGTGCAACAAGCCTTGGACACACGCTACCCCCCCGCCCCCTAGAGATGTCGGCATAGAAAAGGATAAAGATCGTCGTCGGGCGCGCGGGGCTAGCCGGTGCTCTGGGATGAGCGCCCGGGCAGAACGAGCCTGGACACCATCGAAGGCGGTTGTTGCTTCCTGGATACCCACAGCATATGCTGTACAAACAAAACAGGATTGTATCAATATTTTCTTCAGTTGTATTTGGCGTTGATGTCATCACTACTGGCAATACTAATTTGTCTATACGACAAAAGTTGCACACAAGTGTTTCTTCGATAAATGTTGATACCTTAAAATCGATAAACTCCTGGGGGCAGTCGCTGGGCTTGTATTCAATCCATACTATTCCATCCACCTACCGCGCGGCCGCACGAGATAATGTGGTAAAGGATTTAATAGAGAAGTTACAAATGGGGTCCCTGTTCCACACTATATGTAATCTCTATGTTCTATAGCTTTCACTGTTACAAAAACACAACCTCCCCTTCGTCTAAAGGACCCAAAGTGGAAACATAAAGAGTGACTTTTGTCGTGATCCGAAAGTAGAATGACCTACTGTCCTGACTGAAATTTGAAACTGGTGGCATTTTCCCAGGACCATTCACTCTATGCGCTGATCAAACCATTAATTGTAAAATACTTGCGTTTGTGCGCGCGCGCGCGCGCGTGTGTGTGTGTGTGTGTGTGCGTGTGTGTGTGTGTGTGTGTGTGTGTGTGTGTGTGTGTGTGTGTGTGTGTGTGTGTGTGTGTGTGTGTGTGTGTGTGTGTGTGTGTGTGTGTGTGTGTGTGTGTGTGTGTGTGTGTGTGTGTGTGTGTGTGTGTGAGGGAGGGGGGGGGTGGGGGGCGGGGGGGGTGGGGGGAGGTGACACATCAAAATTCGGAGTTTATCGGATAAATCCGAATTGACAAAAATTTTTACCGGCGGGTGTTCTTCGAAGTTTTTTTTCAGATTTATCCGAAAATATGGAAACTTAGTTCTACCGACTACCCATCTCTCCGTGGTGCATGCCCTTGAGTCGGTCGATTCTTTAAACCCCAGCGCCTCCGCCAGTGATGGCGCTGGTGCAGCCTGTGGAGCTGAAGTGGCCTCTATGTAGAGCACTCGCCGGTGGCGCCGCCTGCACTCGACCCCCCTAGAGGGCTCCTCGGTCGGCTTGTTGGTCTGCTACGCCTCACTCCCATTTTGCTGTCAGGACCGGGCAGGGAAGAACAATGTGTTCGATGGTTTCGGCTTTCTGGTCGTCGACCCTACATTGTACGGTCAATATCGTTGGGTCCAACCGCCCCCGATACGATATAGTGACCTCAGCGCTCCTGCTCAGGCTTCAAACAGGAGGCGGCTGCCCAGACTGTTGTAGAAATCTTTGAACAGCTGAGTTATGGCGCAATCTAGTGGGACGGGCCGAAACTATATATCGGCAGAATCAGGGGTACTGTAGCCACTGTATCAGGGGACAGCGCTCTCGGTAGGCGGGCTCCGGATGACGCGGTCGTAAGTTTAGAGGAGGTCGTGGTCCTGACGCTGCCCGACCAACGCGTCCTGTACTAAGATGCCTGTCATAAAAGCGGCGTGCGTCCTGCCGTGCCCTCTTCCTCTTTCCTCCTTTCCTTCACCGAAATTACCGCGAGGGGCGCTGCCAACTGACACTATCGCGGCCGCGAGAGCGCGGGAGATTTGACGTCTGCTATTATGATACCAGTAGGGTTGTGCGAATAGTGGTTCGAATCGAATAGAACAGTGTCATCTCTAGCATCAATAGCGCGACGAGAGCCGGTTGCATCAGTTTTCCTTTGCACCGCAGAGGCTATAAATGACGTTGTGCTGAACAGGGGAAACAGCGCACCAGCAAAACAGTTACTCAAGTCCACGCCCACAAAAGAAAGGCACACTTACGCAGCGCTGACTAACAACTCTGGTACATTCACACTTTCGTCTTCGTCTTCTTTTGGTATCATGGACTAGGGCCACGGAGAATAATTTGGTCTTTTTCTTTAATAGGATGCTAAACCGTAAAACAAAAATTAAAATTAATTTTAATTTTAAAATAAGCCGCGCCGAGATGGCCGAGCGCCCAGCGCGAGTTAGTGTCGGAGGCGAGTGCCACCGCGTGGCGTTTGGCTACAGCACGATGGCAGACCGGCCGCAATGGGAGAATAAATAATAATTGGGGTTGTGTGGATATTTATATAGCGTGTAGTTGGTCAGCCATTTCCAAGTTGCGAGGAGTCACTCTCTGTTGATGAGCAATTTAGCCAGTGCAGCACAACCGCTAGCCTGGGGTATTTAACGTGCACCATGCAGTAGTGATCCACGACCGTACCCCGGTACGATGGTCATCCAGATCGAAACGAGCAGGGGTGGGGATTGAACCCAGAATCCCTTGGTTCTGCAGCACGAGCTTTCGCTCCACGTGCTCCGAGCTGGTGTGCGCTGGCCAACTCGGCCACCGATCCCCTTCGCAATAGACCGATTTCACTAAGCGTTCGGCGCATGCGTCACGCCGCCATAACTTTAGTTCACAGGAGGCAGGCGGCCGTGCACGCGAGGGCTCGTGCCTTCTCGTGCTTTACACGCACAGAGCTCCAGCGAGGTTGTCGCACGTGCAAAAAGACTAAAGTTCCCTCGATGCATTGCGGCAGCGGTGGCGTATAGTCAATCTGGCTGGTGAGAGCGAGCCACCTGACAGGCATCTTAGTACAGGAGGCGTTGGCGGGGGACCGGTGGCCGAGTGGGCTAAAGCGCACACCCAGCTCGACGCGCGTGGAGCGAAAGCTCGCGCTGCAGAACCCAGGGATCCTGGGCTCGAGCCCCACCCTGCCCGTTTCGATCTGGATGAGCATCGTACCGGCGTGCGATCGTGTATCACTGCTGCGTGGTGCACGTTAAAGACCCCAGGGGGGCTATGTTGCGCTTTTTGCACTCCCAGGAGACTAGGGAGAGGGAAGTGACGTCAACGACACAGCGAACGCAGATTGGGTGTTGATTTCGTTTTCTTCTGTCAACATCCAATCTGCGTTTGCTGTGTCGTTGACGTCACTTCCCTCTTCCTAGTCTCCTGGGAGTCCAAAAAGCGCAACATAGCACCCCAGGCTAGCGGTTGTACTGCACTGACTAAATTTCTCATCTACAGCTGGGAGACTCGTCGCAACTTTAAATGGCTGACCAACTACATTCTGTATAAATATCCCCATAACCATTTTTTTTTGTTTTTTTGGAGGCGTTGGCCCGACATATCGAGGCTGTACGAAGACGACGAGGAAGCCGCACCCTCAGCCGTGAGCCATGCCCTCGAAGCAGGCGGAGAGCGCCAAGGGCGGCTCCTCTGCAGACGAGGACCCCTTCCTGAAGAACACCTGCGTCTACTCGCTCAGCTCCTGCATGATCCTCATTCTGGTGTTTTTAATGGTGCTGCCGGGGGCCCTCGTCCCTTACCTCACGCGGCTGCGCTTCATCAAGCAGGCAAGGCGAAGCTCCTCGGTCCTTCCGAGCTCGGCTCATTGGCTGCCTGGCTGGCCACAAAGGACCTTTCCATTTAATAGAAATAACGCTCGCTTCTGGCATTCTTGTTTCTCGGTCCACCGTACCTGCTAGAGCAGGTCTAGACGAAGAGAGCGTGTGGTCATGCCAGAGGTACGGAATTCGTGGATGTAATTCCGTTCGCCATTTTGTCGTCAGGAGCTGTCCGGCGCGGTCGGAAGCAAGCGCTCCCAGAAGTCATTTCACACAGTCAACTACGTACAGCGTAGAAGATTACCTTCCATCGCGCTAGCATTTAACAACAAAATGGCACGTTAACTTCATGTGAAAATACCTGTAGTGCTCGCCATCCTAGCAGCCTGCGCCTAAAAATGAACCTCTTCAAACGCTCAGAGAGGTAGTTGACGTTTGGCTCATTTTCTTAGCAAAACGTCGGCTACCAGAGACTACTCGTAGGTTTATGTTCAAGTTGTTCCTTCCAGCCTCGATCAGCGTCTTGGTTTGTTAGCAGCCTCTACGCGGTACTATGCACGCTTCGTAAACAAATCGACTGGTCGCTGAAAACCCTGTTTAGACATGAGACATAAGTCTCAGTTCGTGAGAAGAGTCCTTTATCGCATAAAAGCCGTTTTCGAGTTCTTCCTATAGTTGGTCTGTGCGTGCCATGCGTAAATATAGCGCGACGTCGCAACTCCGTTCGGGGTAGGTGCCGAGCATGGAGGATGCCGGGCAGCCCGCCAGGAAGCCAGGTCCCTTACTCATCTGCCAGATGAATCCGGTGACGTCTTGTTTTGTTAGCAGCCCCTACGCGGTACCACGCACGCTTCGTAAACTAATCGACTGGTCGCTCAAAATGTTGTTCACGCATCAGACAGATGTCTTAGTTCGTGAGAACAGTCCTTTCTCGTATACAAACCGTTTTCGAGTTCTTCCTATAGCTGGTCTGTGTGTGCCATGCGTAAACATAGGGCGACGTCGCAACTCCGTTCGGGGTAGGTGCCGAGCATGGAGGATGCCGGGCAGCCCGCCAGGAAGCCAGGTCCCTTACTCATCTGCCAGATGAATCCGGTGAGCTACGCAAGCAAGCCACCCTGGACCTACACGGCGGACAACGTTCCGGTACATCTGTGCACGCACGTGGTGTTACCTCTGGTCGGCCTCGCGGACTTCTTTAACAACATGCAAAACTTCGACAGCCTGGCCTCGGCTCCCGTACCGATGCATCTCAACGAACTCGTCCAGCTTCGCCGGGGACGACCAGAGCTTCGACTTCTCGCCGGTTTGGGCGCCTTTCGGGTAATCTCTCCCAGATTCTAAGAGTTTCAGCGCCACCGTTTTCACTCTAGAATTTGGGGAAAACTAAGCAACGCATTTGCAACACAAAAAAAAAAATCAGAAACCGACTAAAATGATCTCAAGTATAAAATAATGTTTTTCTCTCACTCTGATCTCTATTCGGACTTTATCACTGGAAAAAAGTCGTCAGTTACAAGGGAACAATATTTTGCCTAATTTATTGTAACATAAGCTAAAGTAGACGCAGAAATTATGTCACGCGAGAAATACTGATAAGCACAGAAAGTAGATACTGCATTTACTCCGCTTGAACTCGAGAGACGAAAAGATTGAGCTCTCTCACTGGATGATATCGGTTATGCTAGCGCCGAAAACAAACAAAAGAAGTCAAACGTATGTATACCGTTTACTTACGGAATCTCTGTGCAGCTGCTAAATTATAACCGGTCGAACGTGTCGATTTCCGCTCAGGTTTTCCACATCAACTAGCCTGTCATTTATCCCGTGAATGAAGTATGCCGGCCCGGTTCGGCTTCGATTGCAGGGTCCGTCATATTTCCATCGATTTTAGCGCCACGACGCGGCTCTGAAACGAATCTTGGAAGTTTCGGTATTCTGAGAACATTGAGTGGCGCTAACAAGCACATGTTAGGCAGCGTAGGTCGTCCCTGAAGAGTTTAGCTACGGCAGAAGGCCTATTTTGTTCGTCACACTGCCAGCACGAGTTCGTGACCCACGATATTTCGGTGTAGCTGGGCTCTGAGTTGCAGGACAGACGTTCGTGGCAACGCGCACGGGATGGGAGCGAGGTATAACCTAGAGAGACATCCTCAGTGCGATTGAAGCATGGTGTCGTCAAAGATCTGTTCCCGCAGGACGCCGCGCCCCTGTTCCAAAAGGTTGCCCAGAGCCAGGGTCGAACGGCGTTCTTTGTTCGCAACCTCCTACGCTGGTCGCTGGTGAATCGCTTGGACGGCATCCTGGTGAGCGGCCTGTTTCCGACACCCAGGAACCGGAACGAGGCCGTGAGGCTGCTCAAAAAGATGGCCACGCTGTTCCGCCACCGCGAGTTCCTCCTCGAGCTGCCTCCGGAGGCCGCGCTCTTCCGACGCCCCAACTCCGGCAAGCGACTTGCCCAACTTGTCGACTTGGCCGTGCTGCCACCGCAGTGGCTGGCACGAAAACAAGCCCTGAACACCCTCTTGTCCAGCGGCTTCCCCCCGTCCCGGTTGGTGGCCGGTGTCCGGTTCGAAGGCATCCCGTACTCCCTGGGTGAACACGTCAGCACCAGCGAGGGCGGTACTGTGCCGTACCATGAGCTTTGCGCTAAGCGCGGCTGGAAAAAGCTCGTGGACGGCGAGTTAACTCTTCTGCATCGCGGTCGCTCCTGGTACATCCTAGAGGACACGGTTTCTCTCAAGACCCAGGTCACCAGACTAATGCGGCAGGGCCTCGCGGGGATGATCGTGTGGGACGTGAGCGCGGATGACTTCCTGGGCTTTTGCGGACCGAAAAATGCTCTTCTGGAAACGGTCCGCAACACCACACTCGCTGCCTGGAAGTCCACGCAGTCGGCATAAAAAAGTTCTTCGTCTTTTTTCAAGTGCGTCAAGATGACCATGGCCTAATTTCAGCTGAATCCAATGAATAGTTAAACCTGCTCCCGGATGTGTCATGTTGCTTGTCCCATACGAGAATGGTGTATGGATATTTATAGAAAATCCTATGGTGAGCTATCACCGTGTATGGCTATTCCCGTATATAAAATCCCGATCCTTCAGATTTCTATAGTCGGCTATAGAAAAATATATGTCTATAATCGGTGACAGGTTAAGAGTTTAGGGCGAGGGAGAGGGAGGCTAGGGAGGAGGAAGCGGGAGGAACGCTGGAGCGATGGCGATGTTTCCTCTTCTCTAGCAATCCATCTGCTTCCTCCTCCCCAGCCTTTTTAGAGCGCAGCTCTTAGGGGCCCGTTTCCGGCTTGAGCGGCGTCGGCGTGACAGCGAGTTCACGTGACCCCCCCCCCCCCCGAGGTCATGTGACCCTCCGAGGGCACGTGACCCCCCCCCTTAAGGCCACGTGACCCCCATGAGGTCACGTGAACCCTCTCCCCCGAGCTCACGTGACCCCCCTGACGTCACACGACCCCCCTCTCCTGAGGTCTCGTGACCTCAAGGAGTCACCTATCCCACAGTACGCTACCATCCTCCTCCTCAAGAGCTGCGCTCTAACCGTCGTTACAGGGAATTGTAGACGGCTTTCATTTCTTTTTCTCTCTCTCTGACCTCTTAACCTGTCATCGACTATAGAAAGCTATGAACTCGCGACTGTTTAATTTTCTTTAGCGAGCTATAAAAAATGTATGTCCCTAATGCTATAGTTTCGCGAAAATGTAACGTGCTTTAGCCGGCTATAGTGGGGTGAATGTCCCTAAATATATAGACTGAATATTGAATATTCTTTAACCGACTCAGTGATGTTTTATGTCACCAAGGCTATAGGTATCTGACCTTTCAATGTGCTTTAGCCGGCTATTGGGGAGAAGATCAGACCGTGGCGACCCCAAGCGGCTAACTTTAGAAATACACGGATGGGGACAACAAATAACAATGACTCAGCTGACCTAACCGAACGCCGCGTCAGCGTTCGGCTGGGGTTCGTGGTCTTCGGTCGCCGAAGGGGGAGGAGGGGCTTGTAGTTGTAGTCTTTCTGCACGCGTGACAACCCCGCTGGAGCTCTGTGCGAGCAGAGCACGAGGTGGCACGAACTGTCTCGTGAACTGGAGTCTGCACCCTATGAACTACAGTTATGGCGGCGTCACGCATGCGTGCAACGCTTGGTGAGATCGGTCTATTGAAGATTCCGGAGCGAGGTAATGGTAACAAGGTTCACCAGGCGCCGACTTCGCTCGTGCTGCCGTGGGGGTGCCTAGCAGCTCCGCGAGAAAGAAGAAGCGGTCCGCCGGGTGCTCGTGTAGGATGGGTTGCCGGGCGTATACCTCGGCCGTGGGAAGTGAGGAATGTTGCGGGAAGAAATAACCTCCTGCTTCTTCCGCGAGCTTCTCCTCTGTTATATCTAAACAGAGGGCCTTAGGTTGCTTCCGGTGTTACAGGTTTTTGTTTTCCCGGCGAGTCATTTGCAGGCATGCCACAGCTTGCGGTATACCCTGTCCGTTCATTAAGAAACTCACACAGGCTATGCCAGGTGGAGCAGCAGAGTTCAATGGTGTATCTCTTGATTCGGCTGTGGCGTGATTCATGCGCATATTATTCTGAGGGACTCCTGGCTATGTAGCATCGAAAAGCCTCTGTCGCTTGTCCCATAGATTGGCAAGGTAGAATTCAGGAGACGGTGTATCTTCCGTCACGTTTTATCCAGCACGTGACTCCCTAAAGCTTGTCTAGTACAATGGTACTCCGGAGAGACGGCTTTTCGCGGTGCCGTAGTTATGCCACTTTGTGAAAGTGACTCGGCGCCGGGGCGAGGTGGGGATGAGAAGTCTGATGTGTATAGGAAGGTGGTCGCTGCCCATTGGATCGGCATGAACTTGCCACTGAACCCGTAGACATGGATATACCCAAGTCAATTAGGGAAACATGTTATCCTGGTTCGTGGCCCCGGCCAGCCGCGTGGGAGTGTGAGGGTTGTTGCATAGATAGAGACCGGCTGCGACGCATGCTTTTCTGTTATTTTTTTCCCCAGGCGTTCTTGTTCGCGTACGCCCACGCGGTGTGTCTGGCATTCAAGTTCCTGGCTAGTATGGTATGCTTCTCCCTCTGCGCGAGGTGTTTGATCCGGTTGGCCTCGTTCGAACCCACGGACGGTCTTATGTATATGTTATGTACGTTAATACGTATTTCCCCCATTTCGACCTGTGTGAAAACCTCGCGATCGTCAGAGCACGCGGCCTCGGAGTTTCATGTTACTTGCTTGTGTGTGTGTGTGTGTTTTTATAGACGCTTTCAGGCAGCTGGGCATGGGCGCCGCCATAACTGACCTTCAGTTTTTGTTCCCTCTTATTCCGTTTGCTCCACTTCATCATTACCACAGCAGGACAGGTTATTGCAATTCTAAGTGTTATTGTATCCTTCTCCCCATGCATAGGCCCTTGTGGAGACTTGTCAACGCCCGCTTCAGTGGCTCGGCATCTCGATAAGACAAGAGAAGGTCAGCAATGGCGGCTCAATCTGGCGCGCGCTGAAAGCGTCTATAAGTGTGGCTACATTACCAAAGTTGGTGGTTTGTCGCTATATGCAAGGGGTTGTGTAACTGTTGTAGCCCATTATTTCAATCTTCTTGACGTTAACCTCCTGGAAAAGAATAACGTCGGGCGCCTTGTCGTTAAGTGCCGATAGGCGCGTTCTGAGTTGATACAAGTTCTGTTGTAGCCTCCCGCAGTTCCACATGAGGAACCATGGTTGTGGGTTGCGTGTTGCATCGGCGCTTGTTGTGTTTACGTTTGTGTGCTTCCCCCTCGGGTGTTCGTGTATGTTGGGAATTAGTGTATGTCATTATGAGTGTTTACGAGTTTGGGGATGGTCGCCGTGAGCTCTGCCAGCTACTTCTCCACCCGCGCGACGCCTTCGTATTGAAGCTGTCGGACCTGCATCGCCATGTCCGTCCGTTGGGGTGGATGTGCCAGTGGTACATTGTCACTGCTGCACACAACGCCCCGGCATATTGGCCCGCCGGTATTGCCACAGGTGGAGGGGGCTTGGGCGCACGCCTTCTCCCCGCTGGTTTCATCGCTGTTTTCGTGGTGGTGCGCCGTAGTGGAATGGCGCGCTTTGGACAGTCATTGCTGCTGGCCACGTGGGCTCCGTCGCAGTTCTTGCACCTCAAGGTTTTCGTGCACTCCTTCATGCCATCGTGTCTGGAGCCGCACGTTCTGTAGCGCGGATTTTTTCGTAGGCATACATCCGTATTTTGACCAATCGCGTGACACCTAAAGCAAACACGGCCTCGGACGGTATTCGTGAATGGTGCGGATCTCATGCATAAAACACACTCGCATGGGGCGAGTCTTTAATTCGAATGTAACGAGTATTACGTTATCCTTGTTCCCGAAAAGGCGCGCTGCTAGCACCTTCTGGGTTCTCCACACGATGCACACCTCAATTTGTTCAGGACTAGTCACCTGATTACCCTGACCGCGTAAGTATAGTGCTGCGCGGTATTGGTTTCCGGTGAGAGCCTTGTATGATTGGAATGTGTTAGCTTCGTCCCCCTTGCGAATTTCCTTGATTTACAAAAATTTCTTCGTGAGGGTCCCTGGTGGTCATAGGAGGGTTCCGTGTTTTCGGAGTTGATTTTTCGTCAAATTCAGGGGGTGTTTTTCGGAGTTTATTTTTTGCCGAAAATTCAGAGTTATCAGAGTTTATTTCTGTTTGATTCCCAACTCTGCGAAATTCGGAGTTTAATATCGCTGTGTTTTTATTAAAAATAAATGAATAATATCCGGGTGTAAACGTTGTCGGCATAAAAAAGAATAAAGAACGCCGTCGGGCGCGCGGGGCTAGCCGGTCCTCGGGGATGAGCGCGTGGGCAGAATGAACCTGTACACCATCAATGACGGTTGTTGCTTTTTGGAGACCACAATCTGGCCGCGTTGTCCGATGCTGGGCCCAGGGCGGACTCCACCGGCCGTCCCGGGCTTAGCGTCGGGCAACGCTGCACTCCCGTTCACGCTTCAGCTGAGGTCTCACAACATGGACAGCGACATTTCGCTAATGGGGGCTCTGTCCCCTGAAAAGGTGACGGCGCGACTCCCCGGAATATCATGGATTCAAGTCATCACGGCAAGGGAGTGTCCATGCGGTCTGCGGTTCGATGGAACGCCTGGTACTGGGACCTACCCAGGAAGACACACCGCAATATCATTCGTACTTGAAGCTCTTCATGTGCCGGTGATGATGCCAAGACCAACTCCCTTTGACGTTCCTGCAGCTCGCTTCGAATTGGAATACAAAAATCCGCTAGAAACATGCTCCGAAGAAATGAAACAGACTTCGGCAAGTTCAGTCCAGGTTACTGATATTGAGCCGAGCATCACAGAAGCCAAGGATAGTCCACCAGCTTTCCGGCAAAGCGACATGAACGAAACAAAGAACAGGTCCCCTCTGCGCACCCCTCCTTCCGACAACATTAACATCGACGACTAGTCACACCAGCCCCCCGACCATATCTCCACACACGTCCTCAACACAGCGTTGGCACGTCAACACGTCGACACAGTGTCGGCACGATGGAACACGGAAGAAGTAGATGACAGAGCGAATGAAGCGCGTCCAACGCCAGGGGCTGTGGTCTCCCCAATACCTGAGCCCGAGTCACGCCTTCGGACCTTTCCTGGGTCCTCTGGGCTTTTTCGTCGCTGCCCCGGGACCCACGTCGGGGCCCTGCGCGGATCCGGATCCCCCAGGCCAGCTGTGCCGAGACGTGAGCGCGGGCTCACCGCCGAACCACGGAGACGACAAGGACAGTTCCGCCGAAGACAACAAGTAGTGCTACGGTCGTCTGCTTTCTTTTCACGACCGAACACGCCTTATGCAAGGTTGAGCACTGGAGCGAGACCAATCCT